AGAGTAAGAAAGAAAATGCTTCGCGAACTTTACTAATGCTGATATCAATCGCGTCTTATCTAAGGAGAGATTAAAGTGTGAAAAGTACGTTTCGAGGAACAGTTTGCGGGCTTCGTTGCGGTCTAATCGCCACGTAAACACTGTGTCATACTTTTTAATAACCCAGTCCTCAGATCTGCCAGCCCTCACTGTTTGATTCATTTGCAGAGTACGCGTTGATCTACGGCCAATGCAATTAGCCAGGAGAACAATTAATTGGATCATTCAGCAAATCCTGAACACATCTTCTGTGTGATCTCGCGAGGAGATTACATCGCCGAGTACACAGAACATCGACGTGTAAAGAAATTCGTTTTGGCATTCGCGATCTTCCGAGATCCGTCATTATTACACGAATATGAATCGAAATACGTTATCGAAATAAAAAAATATTAGTGAACTAAATTATATGTACAATCGCTAGACTGCGGATTTTCATGCATTTATAGGATGTTTGAATGCGCAAAAATATTACAAAATGCACGCAATGTGCAAGAATGTAAAAATAATGAAAGTAAAGTTCACATTATAATATTTGCTGGGTAAATTAAATTCCTATTTAGATTCAAATATTGTAGGCATTACAATTTTTTACAATTGTTCGCTTAATTACAATTACTAAATTCATATTTAGGTTCAAATGTTGCAGGTACGTTTGCAAAAATTTTATTTTGCACGAAGATCCGCAGTCTAACGATCACTATCAGTGGATAATGTGTTGAATGAAGCTACGATAAACAAAAATACTATATTAGATTAGGTTTTAGTATATGTAGTTTCTGGATGCCCAAATGCAAACATTTTTCTTTATCACTTGTGGTTATGGTAATAGATGGAGGAGTAACCAATTTCTGTGCAGCTTCTTGGACAGTTGTTTGCATATCTTATCAACAAAATCCGTCATTATTACATGAATATTAATCAAAGTACGTCATCAGAATAAAAAGATATTAGTAAACTAAATTATATGTACAATCACGATCAGTCGATAATGTGTTAAATGAATCTACGATGAACGAAAATACTACATTAGATTAGGTTTTAGTATATGTAGTTTCTGGATGTCCAAATGCAAACATTTTTCTATATCACTTGTGGTTATGGTAATAGATGAAGGAGTAACCAATTTCTGTGCAGCTTCTTGGAAAGTTGTTTGCATATCTTATTAACAGTTTCGAATGCCTCGAAGGAAAGTTCGAGAATAACGTGCATCAACGCGGTCGATCCATTATTTCAAGTAGCTGGCTATCTCTTACGCAAAGCGCAATTATCTAGCGGTTCAGGCGGGACTTAAATTTAGCGTGGAATTTCGCTAAGTCGGAGAGACGGTAAAGTTCGGAGGGCCCAGCCGCTGCTGGGACCGAAATACATGTCGGGATACACCCCGACTCGAATTGTTCCTGTTGTTGCCGTATTTTTTATCCTCCGTCTCCCTTGCTGGTACGCCTCTGCTAACGTAAATCTTCTTAGCCGCGGGTACAGTCCAGCAAACAATTCGACGACCATCATCCTCGCTACTTCGCGAATACGTTGCTCGATGCATTTAACACGTTGACTGCCAAAGAAATATTTTTGAAAATTTCTGCTAGGATTAAATACTATTCAGACTATTGGAAGCTACATAATCAAACATCCGTCGTGGTATTTATTTTTGTAACTTCATCAAAATACACGAATTTCGTTTAAATTCATTTCCTGCGAAGCTTATAGGAAGCTCGACTTTCGGAATGAATTTGTTTAATATTTCAGTGAAAAGCACCGTCAGCCACATATGGGTGACGTGGACGATCAACGTGTTAACCTGTATGCCTAACTTCCAAATTGAACACTGCATACTTGCTTCACATATTTGCTTTCTGGATAACAAATTTGTTAAATTAAGATTTCATGGAGATCCAAGGAAATTTAAGGAAAAGACGCGTGATATTTTTAAAAATGGATCAGTAAATTGTAATTGAAGAAAGAATTCGTCTTCATGGAAATTAACACTGTTATGCCATCTAGAAAATCCCACCTACATTAATAGAAAAGGTTTGGACATTGGTGTCTCGGTCTAGCGAAGCGTTGGCCGTGAAATCGTCTACGTCGGCCATTCTAAAATCGTGCCAGAATTTCTCGCCAAATTTAATTGGAGCTCCCCCGTGTCTGCCACACACGGTCTTCACAATCGTTTTATTTTCTTTCTTCGAGACAATAGTGGCTCGATACGACGGTTGTAGAATACGCTGACTCGATAGAAATATCACCAACAACTGCAATTCGATTCTCGAGTTCACCATCGGTTAATGAACAGGTCCGAAAATACAGACATCGATCAATTCTTTAAAATATTACGTAAGAATCCTAGCACTCGCTTTCGTTGCTTATCAAGCCTCGATTTATCGACAGATAATATCAAAGTGTCGCGCGATAAAAAATTGTCCGGCACCACGTACGTTTCTAACGATAATATTTCCGTAATAATCGCATTTTTCTAACAGTACGATATTTCGAGAGACCGCATTCTATTTTTGCGCGTGTTAATAAAGCTCGAAACTGCTCGTGGCCGCGTCTTCAGAAAGCCGTTAAATTGTACACGTGCGGCAACACGTATTGCGTCAGTGGCTCACGTAAGACTTGTTAAACGATAATGATTTTGTTCGTTTACAGATCGGTTGCACCTTCTGTTACGCGGGTGTCGCCAAGACGAACACGTGACCCGGCTCGATGCGTAATTTATTAAATCTCGAAATGTATCTTTCGATGATTTTTGTAACATTCGGTGGTGAAAAAAATATAATTACATTTACTAAACTCTGCACGGTGATAATTCCATTCTGGGAATATTTTCCTTGTTTTATCATTCTTGTACAACTCTTTCTATAATTTGAATATTTTTCTGTTTAGCGTAGACTAGATAAGGGTTGGTTAAACCTTAAACGCAAATAATACTTCGAGACTACAACTCGCCTCCACACTTTCCCCAAGCATGAATACCTCCAAAATTCAAATTCTAAATGTAATTCCTATAGAGCGCCATCATTGGCAAAAAATGTCCAATCAAGTTGCAATATTAAAAGAGTCAAATGAAATTGTATCGTGGGTCCTATAAAGGTACAAGAAATCACCGAGAATGTGCAGATAAAATTTTATCACAACCTTGTACGTTGCAAATTCAAATTCTAAATGTAATTCCTAAAGAGCGCCATCATTGTCAAAAAATATCCAATCAAGTTCCAAACCAATAAAAGAGTCAAATGAAATTGAGTCGTGGGTCCTATAAAAGTATAAAAAATCACCGAGAATGTGCAGATCAAATTTTATCACAACCTTGTACGTTGCAAATTCAAATTCTAAATGTAATTCCTAAACAGCGCCATCATTGTCAAAAAATATCCAATCAAGTTCCAAACCAATAAAAGAGTCAAATGAAATTGTATCGTGGGTCCTATAAAAGTATAAAAAATCACCGAGAATGTGCATAGCAGATCAGCTTTTATCGCAACCTTGCACGTTGCACCTTTTTGGCGTGCTGCATCGACTGCGATCACGTGCGATCGAGTTTTGCGGAATCCCCTGACGCAGCCCACCTATTCGAGTGGGAACTTTATAAACGTTTAATTATCCGGGGCCAAGTGCCTTTTTCCGCGGTTGTAATACACGCCTCTGCGTTAACAGCTGGGAAAACTATGCTCCGCGTCTATTTCCGAGCCCGAGGATTCGCTGTCGTTGGGCAGCGTTGCCCCGACACGCTGGGTCTTCTTTCGGTTTGAAGAAAGTCCCGTCTTTTGCTAGAATGCCAACTGTTTTTCTTTCCTCGCAAAAAAGTTCTCGTCTATTTTTAGCCAACGGTTCTACAGTTACACGTCCCGGCTGCCCTTTGTCGCTCGTCCTCGTCGGACTCGGCGCGAGGAAAACAATGGATGGTGAGTATGTATATTCCTGTAACCATAACAGTCCAATCGGATAGCTAATGCGAGCTAATGTTCAGAGAGCGAGGCACGGTAGCAATAATCACACAACTTGGATACTTCGACTTATATTTTAACTTTCAGTGCATTCAGTGGCAGACTTTGTTGTAAAAACTACATAACCTAACATTTGCATTGGTATTTAGTTTTGCAACTCGATTAAAATTCACGGATCCTCTCCAGGCTTGTTTCCTTTAGTACCTGGTCTCCAGAATTAGATCTAGAACTAGGAGTACCTAAAATTATTAATATCAAAATACATACTAGCAACGATAATTTAATTCCACTCTTGGAGAAGCGCCAAAAGTTTTCCGTCATAGAGAATATCTGCATAAAGGTGAAGTTCGAGGTGCACGGGCAACTACGTTGCAATAGTGCCCTAACGACGTTGCGCTAATTCCAAACCAGATGAATTTTAGCGTGGTATGTAAGGGCCGAGGGGCGTGTGTGTATGTGACTGTATACTCTATTCCTTTTATTCCGTTATGCCGTGTTTACTGGCTGCTTCTTCTATTTCTCTCGCTCCAGCTAATTTCATCGATGCTCGGTGGACTGACCTCTCGAATGTACTCCGTCGCGATATTTTGAGACGGTTGCCGGTTGCTGGCTATGGAATTAAATTCACAGAGTCACGCAGATGGACTGCACGCTCTCAAATAGTGAGTGATGAAAGGCAGAGGGTGCTGGGCTCTCTTTCTGTCAGAAAACAGAGTCTGTTCATCAGACATCGCACGGAAAGAGGGAACGTTTGTAATTTCGTTCCCTTTTTCTCACGTAGTACTGTAGAAATAACTTTTTCCTATGACTTTAACCTCTTCACGGATAAATCGGATAAATCGTGAATAAATCGTAAATAAATCGTGATCAAATATTACTGTCTCGAAAGACATTGGTATAATAATCTGAAACTTCGAAATGCATTGAACAATTGCATCTCCGAATTAATTAAATATTTACCATGCATACAGTAAGACGAAAGATTGTTTGAACGATCCTGCGAACTTGTTTCAGGAGAAACTGAGAGGACTATCGATACACGCATCAAAGACCATCAAAAATGCACCCGATTACATCACACAATCTGCAATAGCTGAGCATTCGAAGGAAACCGGTCATCGCGTACAATAATGATGAAACGGAGAGTCTAATTAATTCTAACTGCAACTAGCTGCGCCAGATGTCTCTAGTCGTGCTTTTCATGGCCAGAGGCGATACCGATAAAATAGGAAACTATTCACAAGGGAAATTGGAAAAGACGAATACTAGGTTGAAAGGTGAGAGTAATATTGATTACAGGCGTGATGTGTGGTGAATGATAGATCAGATAGATTGAGAACTCAGTATAAGCTTATATTACGAACTGAAGTACCGACCAGGTGGCCAATCAGCTGTATGCAGCGCACTCTGCCTTCAACAGTTCCGATTATAGGAACTATGATCAATCCACCTCAGTCGATAAATATAGAGAACGTTCATTTCTGTTGAGTACAAGCAAAATTATATTTCAAATATATATATCTTACAAGTATATACTACGGTATACAACATAAATATGTATACATATATGTACAAGTATATACGACATAAATATACATATATCTTACAAGTATATACAACATAAATATATATATATATATATCTTACAAGTATATACTACAGTATACAACATAAATATATATACATATATGTACAAGTATATACGACATAAATATATATACATATATGTACAAGTATATACAACAAAAATGTATAGATCTTTAAATAAATATATCTTGCAAGTTCATAGAACAACCCCAAAACAAGAAATTAAAATATAGGTACATAGATAATAATTAAACAAGTACATTTCCATCTTCATTTTTATAAAAAGTTGTTCAGTTTTCACCTCTCACTTGAAATTTACACGTGGACAAGAATTTTGCTCGTGTTTAGTTGCAGTCCTACAAAATTCTTACAAAACATTATAACCATTGCAAGTAGCTACAACGAAAAGTTTTCCGTAAGAAATATATAGAATATTGAAAGCGGAAGTTGGAATAATTAAATTTGCGAATGAAATTACACAGATATCCTTCTCTGCGTCGTATCGAAACTCCGATTAACCATTTAAGAAGGTGTTAACGTTCCCTTGAATTAATTCTAGTTCACCCAATGCAAGCCTCGCGTGGACCACTGACGCACCTGTTGCACAAACTTCTCCCACCCCTAGAATCGAAACCAGGGCTCGTCTATTCACCGACACAGAATCTTTTAAGTACAAAGAATCACTGGGGATACCGAGACCCAACAGAGACGTCACGGTGGCTGAATGGAGAGCCCCTGAAAATTTCCAAGGGCTCTTTGTGCACCTCGAGGGTGCAGTTTGGCCGCCAGTATATTCGAAATAGGAATAAGTCTTCCACGCCACCCATCATCCTACGCTTTGATGCGTGAAATGTACCACCATGATATAAAGTGACTAATGCCGATGATACAACACGGGTCTCACGCCAGCCTCGTGCGGCCACTGCGGGACGTTTCTATATGGGGGTGAAGAAGGGAAAAAAAAAAATGAATGTTTATTGTGATCTCGATCGGGGAATCCCGCGACGGTCATGTGGGCACGTTAATTCGTAGGTTTCGTTGTCGTAATTGCGTTTCTCTGGCACCTAGTTTGGGAGATAAGATCGCTTACTAATTTTTTTTGGAATGATGAGGGTTATCGGAAGGTTGAACTGGGAGACAACGGTTTCTTAAATCCACTGCTGCTCCAGTGTGATGTCACTTTTTCTCCTTGTTCATCGGAACTTGTGTTTATCAACCGACTTCTTATACAAAGCGTGACGCCAGTTCGGATGGATTTCGACCGGGAGACATCTCGAAATCGTGAAAAGGCTTCAGCACTGTATGAAGATAGAAAGGAAGGTGGGATCGCGAGAAACACCCTGTATATGAGCAGAAACGGGACGACGACGGATGTGACTGCGCCGGGTTAATAAGGATGCGACGTCATCGGGCTGCGACGTTACGTTTTCTCCTTTGAATCACGATCTCCGAAACCAGGACCGCGATTAAGCAGCCACTTAATTAACCCACGGCGATTAAACGCCGCAATTTGCGGGGCGTTTGTCACCGAAACCACTCGGGAAAATCTCGTCGACTAACGCGCCCAACAAAATCTCGTTTCCCTGGCGCTAGGAAGCTAAAACTAACGGCGATATCTATTCGGTCCAGAACAGGATCAAAGAAAGCTTATCATCTTACTTCTCCATTAACTTATTATTACGGTCACAGGCTTCTCCGATACTTTTATTATTTATCCATGCCTTGGAAAAAACTGAGGCGGTTCTCGTCTGTGATTCGAACCCGAGTTCTTCAGCGTGGTAGTCGGCCACTTTACGCACTCCTCCACTGTAGGGCCCTTATTAGAAAAGCTATCTCACAAGTGAACTGGGAAAGTACGTAAGTAATAGTAATGAAATTGCAATAAAAGAAAAAATTAAATAAAAACAGTCGCGTGTGAGACGTGTGTTCTTAAACGGAAAAGTATTATAATTGTCTAATCGTGTCGGTTGTTACTAGGTTCTCCCAAAAGTTTCTTCCATTTCATTAACAAGTAATGCATACGCAATATTTTATGTCTAATGTTACGTTATTGAATTGCGTACGATTCATTTAGTTCCACTGCTGTCACGACATTAACATCTAAGAAATCAGGTTTATTTATATAAAGATTACCACAAAAAATAACTGAGTGCAAGTCACGGAAGAAACTTTTGGGACAACCTAATGTTTATAAAATTAAAAGGTCCCAGCATAAAAAGAAAACTAATGCTAAGGGTGCGTAGATCGCAATTACAGCACCTACTTGATTATTTGAACACTTTGATGACCTCTTTTTATCCCAGCTTCGTGGGAAGTGGTCTCGCATCGTTTACGAGAATCCGTGAGCTCCGTTTATACGAATTACAAACCAAGCCTATCCAAACGCAGTCGTCTCTCAATTCGAATAAGAGGTGTTGCACCGTATTCTGTGCAAAATTCTATGGCTCGAGGGCCCTATCCTCATCGACGACCAATTAGCGTAGAATGTATGCCCACATGTTTCGTGAGAACGAGAAATTCGGTTTCTCCTGACTCCCAATGGTACATGGGAGGGGCGGAGGGCTAAAAACGCGGTCTATCATCCCGCATAAGATCGCCTACGTGTATAATGTAACGTGACTGCGGGTGGGAATTTACGAGGACGTCTTTGGATCTGATTACGCGGGCTGTTATTCGGGGGAGGACGTGGAACTTGGCCCATATCCAAAAATGTGGCGTAAATTGTATTTATCGATGGGCAGCTAATCTCCCCTTGGGATCGGCTCTGGAAAGTACGCGAAGTGGTCTGAAGCGTCGACTCGCAAGGGGCAGACATGAGGGTGGGCATTAAAAACCGACGTTAGGAACCATTACAAAAAATAAGAATTATTTACAGTGGCGTTGCTTGGAGATAATTCTGTCACGATCGTTTCTCGCGAATTTAAAGTGTACGCGTAGGTACACGTATCGATTACGGACATGCGTGAGAACGGTGAAATTGTACTTGTGAGAGCATTTCAGGATAGATATGGATTAACCCTTTGCACTCGGGTGGCGCCTCTAGGGCGACATACGCAATTTAAGTGATTTTTCGAACGTACAATTTCAATTTTACTTATATCGGAATACAGCTAATTATAAATTCAAACAATGATTCGTTGAGCCACGAATGTTCGTAGATGTTTCTTTTCGAAGTAGAGTTTCTGGTTTTACAGAAATTTATTATAAAAATGGACTGGATTTGATTCTATAGAACAATGCCACGAGCGGCAAAGGGTTTGACACGAATCTCTACTATAAAAATGACTTTATTCAAAACCCACCGACTTCTACAAAATCGGCTGGACGACTGACTGTTCATAAACGGTTGCCGACGGTGCTCCGTTAACCGAAACAACGATAATGCTCGCTATACCTCATTTTATCACTTATACAGCGATAAAAGTGTGCCGATCGATGAATTCTCACATAAACAAAGTGTGAAAGAGTTCACGATCCGTTCGCGATAATGCCAAAAGAATGCATAAAAAAAACAAACAGCCACCTCGAGTACCTTTTAAAATACTGTCGAAAATCATCGGGAAATAAATGTTGCGCGATGATTTATTTTGTCAAGCGATCGATGCTGGGACTGTACCAGCGGTGGAAGTCCTGAGAATGCGTTCGCCAGCGATATCTACGCGAGAGGAACGCGAGTATGGCCGACGTGTAACGGAGGTTCCCCGTCGCCTTCGCGCAATTACGTCCAATTGAACTAATTCAGTCCAATTGACGTTAACAGGCTCAATTGGACGGACCCCGCTAGCGTGCACTGCGGGCACACGGCAATACTATCCGGTCGGCATACCTACGGCGTAAAAAAGTGCTTGCGCGCAAAAGGAAAGAAAACCCTAAACGCTGTCCTCCGAACCCCTCCGCTTCTATCAATTTACATGTCTCATCGCGTCAATTTTTGCTGGATCGTTTTCAACGACCCGAACTTCGAACGTTAGCTAGGTGACCCTTCGAACGTTGGAACGTTATGAAATTTAAGATGGCGATTGTATAATTCTTATTTTTTGTTAATAGGTAAGGATCGAGCTCTAGAAACACTTGGCGAGGAGTTTTGTTAGAAGTAGAGTTTTGTTAGATATGTGGTTTTTATGGTAGGTTCTGGGTGAATTGCTTCGATTGCTATACAGGGTGTCCGACGTGGATCTGGTCTAGATCCTAGATCATTTCTAGACCTACGCAGAGAGAGAGAAAGAGAGAGAGTTGTTACTTAGAATGCTTTTTAATTCGAGTTAATATAGAGTGGAATTTTGGAATTTTTGTGTAGATCCAGGAGAGTTCATTTTTAGACGTGGAAGCTCGAAGATACTTTGAAGACTCGAATCTTTTATTGTATAGCGTAAAAAGTGGACTTTGTGGAGTGTAAGAATTATCTGGTCGGCATTCTTTTGGCAGCGTGCACCCATTATCGTTCACCAATCGCGAACGGATCGGGCAGAGGTGTCTGGCTTCGATTCACAGTGTATTTATACGAGAAGTCGCCGATCGGCATTCTTTTGAAAGAGCATTATCGCTGGTTTTGTTTAACAGAGCGACAACCTTTGACGAACAGTCAGTCGCTCGGCCGATTTTGTGAGAGTCGATCGTTTCTAATTTTTAATCAGTAGAGATTCATGTTAATCCATATCCATCCTGAATTCCTCTCACAGTAGGTAATACATCAATAACGTAAATAATACACGAGATACTGGAGTTTTAACCCTTAAATGGTCCAAGTTTCAAATTTGATAATTGCATAATATTCTCATGGACAAAAGTTAAAGTTCAAATAATAAATACATCGATATTTGTTTTAATTTAATTAACAGAATCAGGCTTCTAAGGATCGAAACCTAATCCCGATAGCAATTCCGATAACAAAGGAGTGTACCTTCAATTTCTAAGCCGTTGCAAGGTTCACAGAGTAAATTACTTAGGGTCGTGATGACGATACCAGAATTTAGAATCCTCATTCGGGTATAACCCAATTTACTTCATGACATTTAATTCGAATTCTACTCGGACTCTGGAGAATTCTTCTCAGAAAAATCCTGTCGGCCATGTTGAAGTAGCTCATTTGGATAAAATTGCACAGACTACGTGTAAAATACAACAAAACAATCGAAATGACTTATTTACAAAAATTGCAGAGGTACTCCACAATTTGCAACATAGACTTGCAACATGTCAGCCACGTTGAAGTAGCTCATTTGGATAAAATTGCACAGACTACGTGTAAAATGCAACAAGACAATTAAAATGACTTATTTAGAAAAATTGCAAAGGTTCTCCACGATTTGCAATATAGACTTTAAAGAAAAAAAAAAAGGTCCTCGGATATTAAGATAGCAAGGAAGCTGTTCTGAAATTGATTTTCGAGTGACAACAGATGGACGTGGTGATTTGTCTAGGATAGAACAGGCCTAAGTGCATTCGTAGTGCAGCTCTCTGCTATTGAAGGACAACGTTGACGGAAGGGGAAGGGGTGGAGACTCCTTCTGTCCTCCTCTTCGAGGTAGTGGGAGCAGAGCGTATCGTGTCCGTTTCGTTCTTATCTTTCCTCCAGGTCTCTCCCACCCCGAAGGAGCGGTGGGAGATCGTTACTCTGCCTTCTCCTTTCTTCGTCGTCGGCGTCCCCCACTTTGTCCCTAGATGTTCTGTCTTTGTCCCACGCGGTCCTTTACGCGTCCTAAAAGTAGTCGAAACGATGGAAAAAATATGCGAAAGTGAAGACGAATTTTCTTTTTAATATTTTAACAATAAAAAGGGAACTTGTGTTCTAGACAAACTTTTCTATTCGACGTCTACTCAAAATTAAGATTAATTTCGTTATTATATATTCGTTGAGAGAAAGCTGAACCTGAGATTGACGCAGAGTGTCGGGAAAAATCTTCTTATTATTTTATAACTGACAAGTGCATGAAGAATGCTTTTGTTAAAAGTAGAATAGCAAAAACAGTGCTTAACACTCGTATCCTCCATGCCAAACATTACAGAAGCCTCACGGGGCACGATTTTCATTTATTTTTATTTTTCTCTTGCTAAGCATCATTCTTCTTCAATAATTATCCGGAACACTTATCTCTAAGAAGCCAACACTCTTATTTCTACCATTTTAAAACACGTATCACACTCTTCCAAACATATCTTCCTCGATCTCTCACACTTTAGCAATGCGTATAAAAGTCTCAATCACTAAAACTGTCTCAAACGTCACAGACGAAATCACGACACTCAAGTACAATCCAGTGTCACCGATCGCCACTACGCAAGTTACATATTCCAAGTCAAATGCCTCATCGGGTAGTTTCATCTACCGTAGAGTCAATTTAAGTCCGAAGACGTAAATCGAACCACGCGCGTCGCGTTTCAAACTTCCCGCGGTGGCGTCACTTTCACCAGACGCGCGGACCCTCGGACGAAATCGGGCGAAATCGGGTGTCGTCGTCTCGGCGAGCACGTTCCTCTCGCGTACCGTCTTCCGTGCGAACTCGCGAGAACCGATCGCGAGCCGAAGAAGAAACGTGGACGCAACGATAAACAAAACCCTAGGTTTCCAACGAATCTGAAGTTTTCCTCTTCGTGAAACGTCTCAGAGAGGAACAGAGACAAGCTTAGTTATCCACAAACTTCAGGTGAACTTCAGGTGAACTTCAGGTGAACTTCAGGTTCGTGCCTAGGGTTTCCGTAAGTCTTCCCTCTGATACCACCGCGGTACTTCCCCGAAAAAAAACGAAGACCCGACTAGAAACGTGGACCTCGCGTTACTGCGAGTCGCCATGGAGGGTTAGGACGCGCGGCGTGGTTTCGTGGGGTAAAAAAAAAGGGGTCGAAAAAGAAAGTCGTCCAGAGGGTCAGTGCAGGAGGCGACCCGTTACTGCAGCCAGGCACCACCGGACCTTCACTTATATCGTCTCTCGGCTAATAACGCTAGTAATGTGATATGATTAGCTTAGTTGAGTTCAGTTTAGTTCGTATTCGTTCAATTTAGTGGTTCGCCAGCAAAATCACATCGAGTTAAACCCATTTAGGCCAGTTAAGTTACCGACTTCTCGCTCTCGCGCTCGTCGTCATCCTCACGAGCGGATGCCTCCTGCATCCGCAGATATCCTGCGGTTCCCTGGGCTCCACCCGCATACGGCGTCCAATTGGAAATTAATTGGCGAGCCGACGGGCCGATGGAGGCAGGAATTGGTCGCCAGGAGGCCATCGTTTCGGTAGAAATCGAAGGCAGTCGGACGACGAGTCGTTGGAGGTCGTTGGGAGGAGAGTCAAGGACCGAGAAGATTTTTAGGGCTTTGTTGAGGCTTTAGATCGAAGGAGTTCGCATTTAGGTCTCGGAAGATGTTAAATACAGGCTTGAGGATTTTTTGGGGGGATTGGTAGAAATCTAGAGGATTAGGTAGATAGCACATGGAGCGTTAGAAGCTAACCTCTAACTGATCTTCATCAAGCGAAACTCCATCATGAAACTTCAACCTTGAAATCTATTAGGTGGGCCGAAGAGTAATCTCGTTTCTTTTACATTAAATTCAAACTTTCCAATAAATTTCTATCTTTGATTCGTTATTATATTCATTCATATAATCGCCCTCATTGTCAGCAGCCTTTTGTCACCTAGCGTGCAAATTTTCAATGTCAGAAAAATCAATGAGCTGATAAATGGTAAACAAGTATTTAAGATGGCAATAACAATTACATTCCAGTCCACCTAATGCCTTCCTTGAAAAACCAACCACCCAACAACTTCTCCATACTAGTATCCTCGTTCAGGTGTATCTATATCTAGGATCCTCGTTCAGGTGTCAGCCGGTAGCGGCAGTGGAGCAGTGCGTAGCGTAGCCGGCTACCGCGCTTGAAATCCTGGGTTCGAATCCCGGTCATTCGCCGCTCCAGTTTTTCAAAGTTACGTTAGGTTCGGCTATTAATGTAAAGTATCGAAAAACCCTTCGGCGTAAAATAAAAAAGTGGAAAAATAAAAAGAAAGAATCGGATAGCTCCGTAGCACTGTACAAACATACAAATCCCAAACAGGTGTAAGCCAAATTCAATTCGTAACGCGCAGGTTCTGAAGGCTCTAGAGAAATTCTTCGGTACATTCTATTTAGACTATATAGACATCATCTACCAAACTGACAACGAATTAACACCAAACCTGAATAACGCTCAACGATAAAAACCGTGACTCACCTGGTGCGCGCATCCATCCTCGATTCCAATCGGCAAGATCGCCGATGGCAGACGCCTCCAGCGGCTCTCGCCGCTTGTAAACAAACTTATTAGCGAAACGAGGAGGAAGGCCACGCGCCGGTCCCGCGTTCAGCCCCAGGAGCGAAGCGGAAAGGACGCCTCGACGAGGGGGTGGAGGCAGAGGGCCAGCCTCGCGAACCGCAATTAAATCACCGCGTGACAGCCGCGCGCTAATTACCGCCGATGAAATTAGCAGTTAATATACGCGTGTACACACGGAATGGGGGTAGTTTGATTGGGCCAATTCGAGGCAATTCCTGGCGATTGCTGGTTTCATTGAGCCTGCGCTTAAGAGCTCAGTGCCACGCTGCCGGTCAACGGACATGGATCTCTTGGAAAGTATAGGTGCCCTCACCTTTCGCGTCGAGGATCCTTCGAGGATCCTTCGAGGATCGGCGGAGCCGCCTGATCGATCGTCCAGAGGTGATCTTCGACGAACTCCTCGAGGATCGTCGCAAAACTCCGTCCATGGATCCGTCGTGACAACTCGGTGGATCGAGAGGATCCTTCGGGTTTAGGCGCGATCGAGTCAGCTGCGACTCCTTGGGATCGTTCGAGCTCGAGTTCAAGGACCCTCGAAGACGTCGGAGACACTGGACATCCGAACGGGCTGCGACGCTTCGAAGTTCGCGCGAGGCTCGATAGTGCTTGTGTGCGAGTGTTGTCAGTGCCACGGGAACGTGGAGTACTCTGGATCTTGCGTGGAGCGGTCAGAGATCCATCGAGAGGGAAGGTACTGTCCTAGATCCGTTACATGGGGAGCTTTCTCGAGAGATACTTCGTAGACTGGCTTCGCGAGACTTTCGTAGATAACGTATGCCTGATCCACGCGGATTTTTGGAAGGTTTAAGGTAGAAGGTTGGATTTATGAACCAGTTATTAGAGAATTGTATCTCATCGTAGCCAAGTCTTCTAGGTATTTCTTTAGTGAAGTCTTTAGTGAAGAGTCTTTAATTACCAGTCTTTAGTTACCAGTCCAGAGTTACGATAGTTAACAGATGATTGTCATAAAACTGCTTGTTGCATGAAGGAATGTTTTAAACGAGAATAATTTCTCTAGAATACCGGACAAATTATCTCTGAATTCCTATAGTGTTCAAACATGGCCTAGACTCTGCTCCCACATCTAATCTATAGTTACCAAGAGCGAAATTCCTTGTTGCGTGAAGTAATGTTTCGAAGAAGAGGAACGATACTTTCCGCACACATGTCTTATCGACACAGTCCGCTTATAGAACTTCTGTGCTCATTCGAAGAAGGAAAAACTCCTACAATTTCTCCGGACGTACGGATCCACAGATTTTGACTCGTCCTCCACATATCTAACCCAGACTTGACGCCTGAGAAGTAAAAATAGCGATGATCGAACCACCGAGGATCTAAACTTCATACGACATCTAAAGTAATTACATCGTTCCGACATCGTTCCGACACCGTTCCAGACGATTCCAATTTCCCGGAAACCGCGACGTCCGCGCTTCGGAACAAGATGGCGGCCAAGGTCCGACCCGAACCGCCTCGAGAGGCGCGCCGAGCCCTCATACTCGTGTGTTCGTTCCGAGAAAAGGTCGAGGGTTCGCGAGGAGTCCATAGTCCGCGGCACGGATCCACAATTTTCCCATAACGTCGATCGTGGACGAAGCCGTCCGCTCCGATTCCCACATCGTCCCCCACCACCGCGGGCGCCGTCGACGTCGCGGACGTCGAGCGTCCTCCGGAGGACGGGGGCGGTCGCAAATGGTGGAGCGGCAGCCAACGAGTGAGACAGCGAAGCAGGAAGACGTCGAGAGCGTCAAGCCCGAGAGAGACGAGACGATGGAGGACGAAGAGAGAGAGAGAGTGCTATATACTCGAGGTCCGAAGGCGATGGAACGGAGGGGAAATGGAGAGAAGAACCTGAGGGATACGGAAGAAGATGGAACAGAGACGGAGCACGCGAAATTGGGAGATAGGAGACTTCGGAACTTGAGAAAAGCCAAATGAGAAAAGTGGAAGAAAATGTTGAATTCGAGGGAGACAGAGCTTGGGGATGCATGGAGTAATATTTAAAGACTGAGGAAGACAGAGCATAGAGATAAATAGCACGACAAGGACAACCAACGTCTCAGGGAAAGTGCAAAGTCTGAAGAAGACAAGATACAGAATGCAACAGATCCCAAAAGCCAGAGAGAGAGAGAGATGGGGCACCGGAGCAAGGAGAAAGGGAAGAAAGAAGGGGCAGCCGTGGCGCAAAGGGAAGTATACACTACCGCTCAAAAGTATCCGGGACACTTGCAAAATATACATTGCATCAAAGTTATTTAACGCGTGTACCACCGGTGGGTCGCACTTGGCTTCGAATGAATCTGAAGTTTACCAATATTTTTTTTTTGTCTCATTTCTTTCTTTGGAAAACCTTCCTTTCTCAGAAGAGGAAAGCAAACTTCAGATTTATTCGAAGTCTAGGATTTTGCCCATCACTGGCCCTCAGGCGGCGTGTACCACCGGTGGCTCACACTCGCGTGTCTATCAGATGGCGCGTACCATTCCGCCGTCCCATGGCGAGAAAACAAAAATAATGCCGCCGGTAAAGTAGCGACCAAAAACGACCAAAAACGCGGTTGGATATCACCGCTTGCACTAATTCTGATCTCTCTCAAGAGAACATAAACATATCTACAACTCCCTGAACTCTGCGCCATAGAGACGAAGCAAAGCGGAATTTGAGATTCTTTTAAGCATCGAGGCCGTTCCATTAGACTTTGTATTTCTCTTACAATTATATTTCTGCACGCTCATCATATAATTTGTACACAAACATTAATTCTATTATCCTACGCAGCCTATGCTGTACAGGTCTGCATATATATCGGAATGGTTGAAAACGAATAACATGTATGCACCCCTTTAAATGGTAGAAAGTACGTCGAGTTTGTCTTTGAATTTTTCATAAAAATTCTCACGAACTTGTCTGAACTATAACGATTAAAATTGATATAAGCGTTCTAAATACCTTTCGTACAAAGTTAGAGTATGTTTCGTAGAAGAAAAGCAATTGTCCGGATACTTTTGAGCGATAGTGTATAGCCGGTCTAGCGCAAGGGGGTGCGAGGGTGAGAGAGGTCTATGGGCGTGAGCGCGACGGAAAGGGAGGAATAGAGTAAGAAAACGTAGGCAGCACCGCGCCCGCATGAACAGGGCCGTCCTCTCGGCGCGGAGGCCAGTAGGTGCCGCAGGATTGGCTGGCCTCCATGTGTGGGGGCGGCCTGGCCGGCAACCCGTTGAAAATATAAGCCTGTGTGAGTGTCCGCTGATTAGCCAGAGTCGGAACGGATCGTCGGTAGTGCGAGAGTGTCCCGGATAGGACAGCCTGCTCGCGATACCAACCACGGCCGACGGATAGCGTCCCCGCGAGAGGAGTGAACCCGATCCATTCGTCGTCGCGTAGTCCTCCAAGGTCCTGGGTTCCCTCTGGACGCTAGGAAACGCATTCTCTCTCTATTACGCGGTCAGACGTTCGCGCCTTCGGCCAACGGCTCGGTTCACTTAGTTAACTCCGCTTAAAACTAATCAAAATTAATCATAACCCGGGCAACAATTGATCGCAATTGGTCCGGATTCCATTACGGAGGAACGCGCTAACGCGATCATCCGCGGCGCCGCGGCACCGCGCTTTTTTGCATAATTCAACCCGCGGCCACGGACCACCAATTTTAAAACGGCGAACGTTCACGGACTTTCGGCCGTTCGACACGAGCCGATACCTTCGCGAGAGCAACGATCGGGATCCGACGACGCGACAGGTGACCACAGACGAGGAACGACGTGTCGGAGGCCCGTCGGAGATCGAGCCTGGTTTCGGACGCTTTTGTTCGCTGGAATCGAAGCTTCTGTTACCTTCTAACAACTGAAGATAAGCCAACATCCTCGATTCCTGGGTAGAAGAAAGGAGATCTTCGGAGATCGGCACAGAAACTTTCGCTAGGATTGGACTGGCGAACAACTCTTAATTACTCCAGTGACTCTAATTTAGTAAAGCTAATACACCTAGAGTCGTGGAGGATAAGTGAACACAGTTCGTTGGGTGCAAACAGCAACCGGAGACAGTTGTAGTTCAAGAGACTTTGGGAAATAAGTGATTAAGCTAATACAGGTGATACCTGGTTCCTCCTGCTGTCTTCTAACAACTGTTAATTGCGGCCGATCAACGCGAGAGGTGACTCCAGTTCAGCGGCACTGAAGACGTCCACCCAGGGACCTGAGAAATAAGTGAACGTTGTTAGTTGTCGGGTACAATTACCGACCAGCAGGAGGTACTCGGACGAGCTACCTGTTGCTCCCAGTTGCTCCCACTGGAAGTACTCTAGGACGATAATGAATAGACTCGGCGAGTAACTTCAGCCTGGCAGCGATAACGAAAGACACACCTGACTGTCTTCGCTCTTAATCCACCTCAGGGATGATTAATTGAGACCAGTCGACGCGACAGACATCGCTTCACAAACTATCAAGAACGTCTCGCAAAAGGCTCAGTTCTTATCCAACTTGAAGATATCCTAGGAACTCCCAAACTCGAGGATTGCTAAATCAAGGATCAGGATAGCGTGAATATTAAACAAGATTAACGGAAGTGTTTCGGTGTCAAGTAATCGACCCGCTAGAGTCCGAAAGAACCCGCGAATAAACTTTTATCCAGCTACCGGTAGACGCGAATCCAATTTTGGAAGTCGCACCAACCGGTAAATGATGGACGGAGGTCCCTTCGACGATCCGATCTTCTCAGACTTTGGCGGACGAGGAGGCACGGGTGTCCACAGCATCCAGGTGATGCTGGGTCTGCACGGCGGCCATCACGCTGGAGATCTGATGCCCACCGGCGGGCACCTACACAAATTGGACTCCTCGAACAGTCCTCCTCCGCACCATCAGACCTCTCATCACCACCTGCAACAGCAGCAGCAACAGAAGGAGCTGAAGGAGCTCGAGCTAGCTGGGATGTACGCGCCTCTTCCTCAGACCCAGGACGTGACCACCTCGACGTCCAGCGCGGCGACGCCCACCTCCACGACGCTCCAACAGGGCCTGCAAATCGGGAATCCGTTGAAGAGGAAGCCCGAGGATCCGATGAACACCCTCACGCCAGGTTTGTAATGTCAATTAAACGTAGGCAAAAAAAAAAAAGGTTCAAAGTAATAGGAATATTTTACCTTCTTGGTTTTCTTATTTTTCAACATAAACAGGACGTTTGTAATTTATTTTTCAGTCAGCAACGAGGCCCAGCCAGCCAAGAAAGATTCCAAGAAGAAGACTGATAACAATGGAATAAAGAAGAAAAAGACTAGGTATTTATTTACTATCCATATTCCTGTAATTATAATAAAAAAGAATTATCTGTCAAATTCATAAGGCTAAGACACTTCAAATAATCTATATTAAAAAAAAAAAAAAAAAAAAAATTAGAATTCATCATTCATTACTGATACTCTACTTTTAAATTCTCCATCGGTCTAAATTACCAACCATATGCTGTCTTACCGACGACCAATTACCTCCACACGCCCACATGTTTCGAATTCCTGTCGACATTAGTCACGAAGGCGAACAATCGCCATAAGGCCCCGATAGCTTGCATCACTCAAATATTTGAATAAATTCCAGGCATTAAAGTCGCTCAATAAATTTCAGAACAACGTTCACGGCGTATCAGTTGGACGAGCTGGAGAAGGCTTTCGAACGCGCGCCATACCCTGACGTTTTCGCGCGCGAAGAACTCGCTCTGAAGCTCGCCCTCTCGGAGTCCAGGGTACAAGTTTGGTTTCAAAATCGGCGCGCCAAGTGGCGAAAGAGGGAACCTCCTCGCAAGACCGCCGGGTACATGGCTGCTGGTTCTGCGAGCCCTGGTTTATCAGGTAATTTGAATTGCCTGCGTGAAAAATTACGTGCTAAGGTCATGGAGATATTTGATCGTAATATTATATTATAGTATGTATACTATACTATATATATTAATATATACTATACTATACTAATATATATATATACATATGTATACTATAATATGTATATTATAATATATATACTATGCTACACTATATAACATACCTATATCGTTATATTATATCATCGTATATCTACGATCACGGTACGTTTCTATTAGAACTAAATCCAAACAAAACCACGTGACTATATATAGTCTCCCAGTATTCCTCGAATATACCTCGAAATTTTTCTAACGAATCACGTTTTTGCAGGATCGTTCACCTCGTTGAACAACACGCTGAATCCTTTTGCGTCTCCCACGACGGCGACGGCGCCGCCTGACGCCTGGGCTTACTCACCCGCGTACGACTTGGCGCCCCACCTGAATTTGCTCAGCCCGTCGAATTCTCCTTACTCGACGTCGTTCGGGGGCCCGAGCAACAACGGTTCGGCGTACTCGTACGCGACGATGCTGCCACAGCACGACGCGTCGCTGTTCTCCACGCCCTCGGGCAATACGATGCGCGTTCATCAGGATTACATGAACGCTAGCAACAGTCCGCCACCTCTGACTCGCAACGATTATCAAACGATGGTGACCGCCCACTCGCCTCCCACCCACCTGGCCAACTCCATGTCCGAGGAGGAACACCAGCAAAACAAACAGCTGGAGTACGTGAGCGGTCTCAGCCCCGCGGACAAGTATCAACACGAGCAGGCGGACTACGCGCAACAGCAGCACCAGCAGCAGCAACAGCAAGAACAGAAGCAGGAGTACAGCATGCACTCGCCTCAGGGCCGCCAAGGCATGAAGGATCAGGTGATCGTGAAGACGGAGCCAGGAACCCAACAGAATTATGTGCAGCTGCCTCCTTTTCTGAACTGACTCGAAACCTCCGTTCTAGACTTGTTCTAGAAGAATATCGATAGAGATCCCTGTATGTACGACGATGATAAGGGAGGCAATTGTTGGAGTCTTATTTAAGAGCTATTAGATTGTCTTCTTTATCGTCGTTCTAGGGCCTCTTGGCCCTCATTTAAGGGGAAGCCTGAGAACAGACGCTTGCTCGAGAGTTTCGTTTTCGTTTTGGGTCGAGAGCGTCCGGGGAATCGTCGAGTCTTGTATATAAAAGTGTTCTTTTAATTATGTTATTACGCGAACGATCTTCGCGTATGTAAAAGAGAAGTTAACCCTCTGTAACACCGCGTATCTCTGAGGTCACGTGTTCACCTATATTTACTATGTCTGACTTACAACTAGGGGATACGATCCACATTTGAACTTGCATTCCATAATCAGCGTTTATCAGTGGTTTATGATATAATTTGTTACAGAAGCTGAATATAAATTTGAGTTATAGAGGGTCGTTAAAAGTCAGTCTATATCATCGCTACAGATTGCAATCAAATGGAGAAAAATCGTCAAAACTGAGAGCTATATCCCCTCTATCACATTATACCAGTTCATGAATACATTATTATCTATGTTGTGCCAAAAAGTGAACAAAAAAAGTAAAAATGTATCATCTAAATGGGACTCCGTTATTTAATGTTTCGATTCTAATATCTATCGATCTTTGTCGATCTTCGTTTTTGGCCCTCTGGCGAGCCTTCTGAACCTTAATAAGTTGCTCGCCATATATGTGTACTGTCCCCCTGGTGTTGTGTTAATTAAATCTCTATTCCATGAATTTTATTTTTGAAAAAAAAAGAAATTCATTATTTATACGTACATAAATTAGTCAATGTTCAAGTGACATCTTCTTTTCCTCGTGACGGTGTCGCCAAACGTAGCACAATATAAATAATAATTTATTTAACTAATATAATTGCAAATCGCACCGTGTACTGTCAAAGAATAGGTGCAATTAATTTCCACGAATTTTCAAAAAGAAATTTCAAGGACAGGTTTCGAAATGAAAGTTGATAACGTTTAGTAATGTTTTTATAATAAACATGTACTAGTAATAACAAATATTTTAGGGATAAACGAAGAAGTGCGTTGTGTTAAACGAAATTAATGTTAATGCGGATTAAACAAATGGAAGCATTCCAAGTGCCTTAAAAACGTAGATTAAGATGACGCGCAAGTTCCAACAAATGAATGCGGCTATTTTTGTATTTTTCTCTCTCATTTGTTCGAACGTAAATGTCGCGTAAAATTCGATTGTCCTTACGTTCTATGATATTATACGTATTTTATGGTGATATACGTTGTTGTGCATTAAAACATATAGGATGTGAAATATTCGTTGATTATGATAAATTAGTAAAGAATGTATCGATTATTTGTGATTACTCATGTGTTTGTAATTACTCGTGTCAAAATATACTTACAAATAAAAGTGAAACTACGATTTGCAAATGTTTAAGTTGATATAAATATAAATTGACAGAAATTGATAAATTTTAATATTCGAAACACGAGAAATGGAAAACGTTCCAATTTAAAAGACCATTTTACCGTTTTAAATGTATATATTTTTTGTTTATATACATATCAAATATAATTATGCTACTGTTCAATCCACGCTGTTTCTCTTATAGCACTAATATTTACATCTGGAACAAATCCTTCACAATTGATGTTGTCTACATTTGCAGAAGTTTGTAAGGCATCACCCGCGTCTGGATCATCGTACATTACGTACCAAATGGCATCACCAGTAAAATGGTGTTGCTTCTCTAACATATACAAACACAATGCCAGATATTGACTTGGACTAAAGTTATATCCCATTTTCGCATTGTATTTAGCATATATCATTTCCAGCATTTTGCTAACTACATCTCTACAAACAAAAAAATAAATACAATACAAAACTTATTGAGAACTATTGATATTTAATATAATATATATCGCATTTTATGTTCTTACTTTGGATAAAGTACAATATGAATATTTTGGCATATGTCTTCCACTGTATATATTTGCTTCAAATATGTCAGCATTGTATATATAGAGAAAGCTGTAACACATTTCCAATGAGGATGCCTCATTATATAGTTAACTAGATCGATGTTTGACTTTCCTAATTCCTTGTGTAGTAAATACAGTAAATCCTGTCTGGTAGATGTATGGTAGATACGACCTTCCACAAATCTAGTAAAAATATTTTCATTGTAAACAAATTTTCACTTTTTTATTACTGTGTATAAATATCCATGCGTTATTCACAATATATCATCAGTAAATTGAGATTCTTACCTTTTGAAAATCTTGTTGGAAGCTATAATCTTTTGAATGTTTGTACTCTGTAAACGATTCAAGGAACATAGGTATTCCACTCGAGTCATGACCATTCTATACATGATGATCATGTAAAATGCCTTTGGATGTTGCAACCATACTTTTAATTCTGGTGTTTTCTCCAGAGTGTTATATCTTTCGAGAAACACCTTCTTCTTCATTGTTAGAATATATAAACTATTTGTCATCGATTTAGTTTCAATATTCTTGTCTTCGCAAACTTTTAGTATTTCTTTTATATTGTCTCCATCGCTGAATAAGATTCGAGGATACTTTCTCACTATTTGGTATATATTCATGTTATTAATACTTAAATTTTCGAAATTGTGGAAAAATTTCTCTACCATGTCTGGACACAGGTTCAATAAATAAGGATGTTTCCTCAACTGTAGAATTAGTAAAATCACTTTCATGTTATTACATATCACTTTTTATTCAACTGTATTTGGTTCTGTATTCACACTTAAAAAACAATTATACTCACAAACTCTTTACTAAACTGCAATCGGTTTTGTAGAATACTTATTAGCTTTGCAAACTGTCTAAAGCTTATAAATTTCATGTGATGATTATTTGTGAGGCTTTTATGATATAAATTGAGGTAAAACGATTTATAGTATACCATCATAGTGAAGTACAAATTGGATAATTGTATATGTGATTCTAATTTTGTTATGTTACATACATTTGGTCTGACTCCTATACTGTCACAAATGTTCTGCACGATATCTGTGTCTGGTGGCATGTTACTATATCTTTTAAAAGTTTTTATTGATTTGTGTATTGACACTGGAAATCTAAAATGCAATCATACAGGAGAATTCGTTTCATAAGCTTAATAACTCTTTTAGTTCTTCTGAAACCTAAAAAGTAAACATACCTATTGATGTATTGCAACGTAATATTTTTAACACCCACTTCTTCCAGTAATAAAATTCTATTCTTTACAATCACGGAACTTAGCTTCAAACACGCTGACAATTGTGCCGTTTCATGTGTGTGCACACCGAATTCCTAGTAAATAAAAGTAAGAAGAATCCTTATAGAAATGTAAATTGCAGAATGTCAAGTTGCAGATGGATGAGCTACACGTACCTGCAAGATTTTGCAGTTCGAGACAATACGTTGTTCAGATATTCTTGTAATATCTATCTGCGATTGAATAATACGCCTGATAGTATCATGATCATAACCTAAATGCGTAGACAATATATCATAAATATCTGTGTTAGAAAAAGAGGTCGAGGCTGATCTTCCAAGACATATCCTGATAGATTTTTGTGGAAATAATTTGTACATTTTTGTTTCACATTCACTTTATTAGCAACCAAGACACTTAAATACCGACTGTGAGGTTAGAAAATGTAAGAACGTATTCCACATGAACGAAGGCATTATTCTCATTATTTCTCTATACCACGGAATCATAGGTCGTTATTTAAGTTACATTTTACTTAACATTATTACATCATTTTTCGATTGTAATAAATGGATAGATCAGTAAAACCATTTTAACATTCAACGACCTTTCTTGTTCATCCGCGCCAGAACCAACTGTGACCAGAAGTTATTAGATCAAGTTTGATTCCAACTTGTGCGAAGTAGTATAATTGGAAGTTGGTTATTCAACATTGTGAAAGAGACTACGTGAATGTACTGAAATGTCTTCTTTTTCATTGACAAATTTTAAGTCCTTTGGTACATGGTGCAATCAGTTGCAATATGTAATTATTTGTTGTTACTTAATGAATAAGTAGTTCGACCTTTCCACCACAAGATGGTTACACTCTTCATTCTAAAAACGTAAAACGTACATGATATTAGTTCAAGTTTATGAGGACATAAATACATGTATAGAGTTTGTTTTTAATTGATTCGATTTATTAATGTGCTTAATTATTTCATCATAACCACTACACTGTACAGAGAGTTTGCTTTCCACGAGTTTATTTTGAAGTACATAACGTAATATACAACAATAATAATAATAAAAATAATACGTGTATCGATTTATTTAAGGACATAAATAAAAAAAAAGGAAAAACGCGATACATATCTTCGTAGCTCTGCAATACAATCTCGAGTTTTTAGCTAAAATAAATTTGACGTACATGTAAGGAATACAATTATCGCGGCGAATTTCATTCGAACACGAGTATCATACAACGAGGAATACGTTTCAGCACTGCGAGATTTAAATCTCGGTAGGTTTAATTCGTAAAATCACAGGAACGCTGGTGCACGGTAAAATCGCTAATTCCGTAACAACAGCTGTCACCAGGTCAGCTGGTGTAACGTCGTAGGTAATGTTTAAAAGATTCAACGACTTCTTGGTCTTCCAATTAGCCAGCAAAGATTTCTTCGCGTCGAGCCCGTTGCCCTGCGCGAGTTCGTTCGCGTTGCCTAAAATAGGGAACGCAATTTGAAGCGATTAATTCATTTATACAGTCAGTTATACAGGATGAGTAGAATATAACACAGAAAATAGTTTTATACTCACCACATTTTTGAAAAACTAAAGCAAATCAAAGGCTTAAAGCTATCAGCGATGATTATAATTAATTTAAGACTAGATAATCATTGCAAGAGTAGAAATGTTGTTAGTACAATAGCACTGAGAAGAAAATGTAAAACTGCTCACCTAGCTCATTGTAGACGATAGAATCCGTTTGTACGCGTTCACAAGACTTGTGGGTCTCGCAGGCTACTAAAACCGGAATATTGAAGGCTTTCGCCATCAGGGCTACTTGAGCAGTGCCAACTCTGGACATTACAGCACCATTAGCCAATATGGCGTGAGCACCAAGGAAGACTTTACTTACCTGGACGATTAACGAATTAGTAGACACATGAAATTGATCAGAATAAAGCAAACTGCCGCTTTAATACTTACTTCTGGCATCACGTAACTCAACGCATTGATCAAAATATAGGAGCATTCGATACCGTGCTTCGTTAAACGCCTGAGCTGTTCCTTCCCTTCTAGCCATGGTCTTCCATCGACCACGACGACGCGAAACTGTTTACCAGCTATATGCGCATCTAATAGGATTTTATGTATCAAAGACGAGCTGGAAGCAATATGAATTTTAATTAAAAATATAAAAAACTATTCGTGGAGTCCTACACCCTCTTAAAGATGCGCGGACACTTACTAGCCATACGTCAAAATAACGTCTCCGTTGGATATTTTTGTCTGAATAGTTATAGATATTGCCTTGTCGGCAAGTTGTATTTGTTCCTGAATATAAGTATCGATTCCACTACTTAATTTGCTCTTCGCCTGAAAGATATTCACGAAATATCGTCAAAAGTCGAATTGACCATAGCTTTAATGTTAAAATAGCATTACATACATCAGCATCCGACGATACAGAAGAGAATTGTGTCATCTGGCGTTTCAAATGTCTCAATGCGTTCTGCATCGAGACAGCCAAGGGTCTACAGTGATGCAAGTACGCGACAGATTCTTGTAAGCTGGCTTCTAAACCTCTAATGAAATCAGCCTGAGATGGTCGCTCGAAATCCTGAATGAGTCTCTTAACAGCGGCCAAAAGCGCGACGCATCTCGCATTGCTGCCAACGATTACCTTCTTTGCGTACTGTGTACCAAGTCTGACTATCACTGGGTGTATCTTTGAATTAACAGAAGGAACATCGACGATAGCCTTCTCTCTTTCATGGTACAAATGTTTAAACAGATTTATTTCATGCGTGTTATCTTTCTGAATAGTTTTCTTAGGCGTTACAATTTTCTTTACATCTGTTTGAACTGTGCCTTTTGTTACATGCGCGCTATCATCAGTTTCTTTGCTGTTTACTTTATTTTTCTGTAGTAACTGTTGCTGCTTGGCTGCTCTTTGTGCCTCCTGCTTAGCTCTTCTTTCAGCGCGTAATTCCGCTTTGCTTTTCCCTTCATCATTCACTTCCGACGGTACACTTTTTGTACACGAGTTCGAGGTTTTGTTGGTTACTGATGTTTTCTTTTGAAGTTGAGTCTTTTCATTGGTTGTTCTTTCCGATGTCTCGCTACTTTTGGTACTATCAGGGTCTGTAAGTTTATTGTTCGAGGTATCTTGTGCCTTGGGGTTCTTGCCTTTTAATTTGGCAAGTGCCTTGGCGGCTTTCTTTGCTTCGCGTTCAGCTTTCACTTCTTCTCTCGTCTTCTCTGAGACGTTCATCTTATTGTCGGTTACTTTAATCGATTCTGACGAGGTCAACGAAGGTGCAATTCCTGATTTATCGGGTTCAGTGCTCTCTATGAAAACCAATAATAATATTATATATAACGACAGTAAATAATACGAGTTTAATAATCAAATATTTTATGAATACCTACCAAGAGAAAATGTATTTGATAATCTATCGATATCTCGCTCAGAAGATACTTCCTCTTTAGTAGTTACACCTTCTTCTTGAAAAGAGTTCAAGTTAGACAAATAATTTTGTGTAATTGTGGAATCAGAATTTAAAACTGATTCAGTTTCTGATTGTTCCTTAATGGGATTGGTACTCTCTCTATTTTTTGTTATAACTAAACTTTCATCTTGTGGTTCGATATTATTGGAAAATAGCTGAGTATTTTCTTGTGCAAAAGTTTGAAGATTGATTTGAGGGGTATCGGTAAATTCTAAACGCTTCACGGCCTCGAGTATTTCCTCATATTCTACATGTTTTAGAAGCTTCACAAGATTTATTTCTTCGAGACAATTGCACACATTACACGAACGTTCCAAATCATCGAATTCCTGTGTTCCTTGTTTCTGCAATTTTGTATCTTCTTTTGTGTAATTGATTTTCGTTTGAATCGTTTCTACTATCTTCTGTTTTAATTCGGTCGTAAGTACTAGATCTTTTGTATCCTTGTCATGTTTTTCGTGATAAATTTGTACTTCATTTTCGAACTTGCATAGTCCAGGTGATCTGGACAAACAAGATAATTCCGAACAATTTTCTTGCAATCGTACGTTCTCTGGTATCAATTCCGTTTGCTCTAATTTCTTGTCATACTGTTCGTGACAGACTTGTGCTTCAATAGCTTTCTCTAATTTGTAGTTTTGTTTAAGATTATTGGTAACATCTGTGTCCAATTTGGCACAGGAAACTGAATCGTAATCTGCCGTTTTAATATACTTCAACAAAATCGGATCAATAGGGGAATAGGTATCGTAACAAAAAGAACAGGTGTTTTGCACCAATTTGCTTTTATTCTTCTTCCGCAATCTGCGAGCTTTGGACTTTGTTATCGTTTTTACGTCCTGTAGATCCTTTTCAGCGACGTCTTGATCATCGACAGTTTCGATAACGGGCAAAGAGTTTCTACAATACGATTCACAAAACGAACAACAATTTTGAAGCACCTGTGTTTTACTTCTTTTTTGTAATCTACGAGCTTTCGACTTTGTTATAAGTTCTGGTTGGTCAGTATCTCTCTCTATGATGAATTCTTGATTGAACTTAACATTTGAACCATGAATTAAACACTCTTCTTGCTTCTCAGCTCTACGAGCATCATGTAATCGCTTTCTACGAAGATGTCTTGCTGTGGAACGTGTGAAGAATTTTTGCTGACTTTGTTCTGCTAACTAAAACAACATTGTTACTTTAATACAATGCTATGACTAGTTTTTTATGCTATATATACAAGATGAAATATATGATACCAGCAGATGAAATAAATTAAAATAAAAAATAATTTGATTCGAAAGCATTAAATAAATATACAATTACATGAAATTACATGAAATAATTAAACCTACGTTGAATCATTAAATTATCATCTCTTTAAACAACAATGGAAAAAAATGCAAAGCACAAAGTATATTAAAATGTAAGAAATGTAAATTAAAAATAATGTTCCAGCTAGAGATTAATAACGTGATGTAAAGATGTTTCTAACATGCAACAGATAAAACCATATAAAACAATAAGTTTAATTAGCTTTTTAGAAGTATTAAGTAACGAAGAAAGTAATCTTACAAGAGAAAAAGAACAGAATCAAAAATTCTGATATTAATTTGAAATGTGCAAATAGTTACGGACATGTTCCTCCTGATCCATCGTCACTGTATCAGTTCTCAGTCACGGACATACATACAGTCCAGCTGGGAACACGAATGTGACTTTAACAATTCAAATACTTTATCTTGAATGCTTTTCTTAAAAAAATTCTATTTTTAAAGTATATCAATTTTCAACTGCTCTGTCAGCTGTTATGTTTTGCTGTATATTTTGTATTATATATTTGCTATAGATGATACATAGTTCATTCTTAAAATATAGTTCTATGTAAAGACTTCTGAAATTCACAATGTTACACATAACTGCTACAAAGCAAAGTTTTAAGCCTCCTCACTGTTTCATGTCTTTATGCAACCATGAACAATTATGATGCAATTTTTACATGATTTCATTGTTAAAGAAATGATTATTCTTATGATTCTAACAATGTGTACTACCATAAGTGACATTAATGGAAACGTTGCTAAAATTGCATAATGGAAAAATTTGACTATGTATATACCGTGACCAACATTTTTAAAAATAATGTGATCATATAATTTAAATTCTATAAAATATGTTTCAAAACAACATTCATTGTCACGTCAGATTTATTGTCAGCATATAAAAATTACTCCCTACAAATATGTATATTTACACAATTTAACGAACAATTTTTACAAAAACAATACGATACGTTTAAATATTTTCAACTCACTTTATAAGTATCGTACTTTTTTTTTCTAACCCTACAATGAGCTCCTTATGTTTAATGAAAATTGCAATTAAACAATGTCTTGACGAAGTACTTCATGTGTAGGATAAGTACCTTTAATTCTGTAATAAATATATATACACTAACACTGTGCGTCGGGAGAGAATAATATTCATTTACTTTTATTTAATTTTTAGGTCGCTACCATGTTTTCTCGCCATGTCCTACGAATTAACAATGCTTCCATCTACGGGTACAATTATAAATTAATTTTGGAGATCAACAATTTCATTTGATCTATATTTTTACAGTTTATTATATATAAAATGTTTCGTAAACTGTAGATTTAAAATTATGTTGGAATATTTATGAAAATACAAAAATAAATCGTAACTGAAGGAGGAAGTGTTCAGTTTGTTTTTCTCTTATAAGTTTTCAAGATCTAGTAGTAGTTAGTAATTATTAACTATTACAAAAAATAAACGTTCCTAGAGGGAAAAAATAAATTCATGTAGTCTACTATTTCCTGGATATATTTACCATAAATTTACTAAAGATTGTTTAAGTGCTACGAGAGAAAAAAAATAAAATAGATGATCACAAATTAGTTTCATTTCCTTACATTTGTGATCAAAATTTTCTATTTTATCTTTCTTTTGGAACAAGCATGTTCGTCAGTAGGTTTCAATGAGAAAACAACAGTTTGTTATTTTATATTTTATTTATACAATAATTGAGACGATCTCTAAATCACTTTTTCTGCGCTGCCGCTGCTTCGTCCTCGCGCTGGTAAGATTGCAGCAGTTCTTGTTTCTTCGTAGCAATACGTTCCGCCCTACGTTTACGTGCCTCCCTGACCTTAGTACGACGTGCTTCAGCTTGGTCAGAAAGCATCTCTGCTCTGGCTTTTTCAGCCTTCTTTTTGTGAATGAATTCCATCAAGACTCTCTTGTTCTTGAACACGTTACCCTTGGCTTTCATGTACAGTGAATGGTACAGATGTCTGTCGATCTTTTTTGTTTCGCGGTATTTTTTTAGGAGTCGACGGAGAACTCTCATTCTTTGAATCCATAAATCCTGCAACCAATAGCATTTATTATATTACAGATAACTATCAAAACATTGTGCTTATAGTAAAGAAATGTTTTAAATATAACATAACGATGGAAAAAAATTACAGAAAACTCTGATTTACCTTCTGCGGAGTACGAGCATTGGCTGTACCTTTCCGTTTACCGAAACCACAATGACGTCCTTTACGTCTGGCTTCAGTATTTTTCCGAACACGTGCTCTGGAATGGACAGCTACTGGTTTCTTAATGATAAGACCATCCTTGATCAATTTCCTGATACTTTGTCCTTAAAAGAAATGAGTCTAATGTACACAACTAAGAAAAAAAACACAGCATACTCTGATGATATACACATTTTCCAAGCCAGAAACTTACGGGAATTCGTATTCGCGATTTCGTTGATTTCATTTGGATCCAACCAGACCTTCTTTCTGCCACATCGCATAACAGAGGCGGCCAGCCTCTTCTGTAACTTTAAAGAACTGAAACAAACGATATGAGGTTATGTTGTGGGAACAATTAAACAGTAAAAGATATCTTCGTCTCGTCTAACTATTATTCACGCATATTTAATTTGACGTTTTCATGAAACCTAACTACGATTTGTTAAACAGTGTTTAATATATGAACGAATCATGGACTCGATCGGAGAACCATGTGGTCAGCCGTCAACAAATTATCAACACAAAACTCGTGAAACGCCGTATTTACGACTAAACAATGGATTTCTACGATTGCACAGATATTGTACTCGAATGTGCAAGTGATACGAATGAAATTAAAATTAATACTGTCAAAATATAACAAAAAATCTTGGGGCAGTCCGTACCTCATGACGGAGTCTACAAGTCCTTCTTTATAAAGAAGAACAAGATGGCGAGGGCTACATTTCCTGTTTATCGATACTTGACGGAAGTAACGAAGAAGCAGAACCTATTTTAAATGCGACAAATACATTACTGTACACAGTAAATATTAGACAAAAGGAAATGACCTGTGGTTCATTTATACAACAGAGATGTAGAATTAATTTTTATTGGAATCTGATGATCATTTGGGATCCCACTGAATTCATGCAATTCAAGATCTCAATCATTGAAGTCGATAAAATAGTTTTCGACAAATTTAATATTGGTGGCGCCATCGGTGGTAAAACGCCCAAGTTTGTAAGGAAGATAGTTCCCGCTGTTTATGCTAGATAGCGCCACTAACTAGTTTGTTTGTTTGTTTATTGGATTAAAGTGCGTACATACAAAGTTGTACTTTGCACTACTATGTGCTGCTCTCTTTGTACAAAAACTATGGATACTTGGTTTCGCCAATGATTATTAACTAACTCCGAAGGTTTAACAGAACAAAACAATTTATTATTTTAGGAGTACAAAGCGTTACAACGTTATCACGTGAACAGTAAGTAAGTCGAATTCGACGCAGGTGTAACTACTAGTAACAACTATATTTTATTTCCTCCGATGTAAGACAGAGGGCGCCGTCGGTAATGTAGGACTCTGTTCCGCCACAAAAAGACCTTAACCGCCATCTACCGTTGACAATAAGAAACTGTTCCATTACAAACTTGGTCATTTTCCCACTGATGGAGCCACAGATCTAAATCCCTCAACTATACTAAATACCACCGAACTATACAGTATTTCCAAGATACCGAGTTGTAGAGAGTCCTATGATCTCCGTATAGTATTTGATAGTATTCCACGAGAACGCCTATCTATCTACGCGTCTGTGGTCTCAGGTTAAGTGTTACAACGTGTACCTACGCATCGGTAACGTTGGAAGTGACAGGAGGAAATAGTGAATGGATATTATAGGCACGAAAGCTGGGCAACGGTTCCCATTGCTCGGTAGGTTTGTCTGAGCTGCTCATCTGTACTGATAGTGCAGTATTGACTACAAAAAGTGACACACAACGACAGTGTCATAAACTCTCGTATTTGAGTTAACGTTCAGTACGGCAGATGCGTAGCTTAGCGTGACACTTTTCCCTGTGGACAGCGTGTAAATAATTCGTCAACGATGCAGCAAAAAAAAAGTGACCCTAAACAAGGACCTGCTACGCGAAAGGGAGAGGTGCACGTTCGATCCTGAGGAATTAACTTATATATTGGATGGCAGCCCACAGAGGACCCATGAACGTCGCGAACGAGGTATTTAAACGGAAACTCCCTTTTCGCGTACTTCTATATACTTTGCAGTATCGTCCAACAACTCGTTTCATAATTCGATCCAGAAATATCGAGCGGTCTATCGGTTTATTCCACACAGTCGTGAGATTGAATCGATATTCGCATCGGATACTCTCGATTATCTAAAGGATAAAGGATAAAGTTATCTGTGGATAACAAAGGAAAATAAATAATAAACAAAAGACTGTCGCAGACATTTAAGTTCTGTTATTTTTGTATTTTTTCTTAGCATTTCCCTGACAGACTTGTTCTCACTCTTTTCTGTCATTAGATATCATTACCAAGCATTTTTTGCAGATTCCTTTTCTCGTTCCGCTCCTCTTTATTTGCATCGATGAACAGTATAATGGTAATTTTGTTCAAATGTATCGTTTTTTATGAATGAAATAACAGAAAAATTGTAACGAGAAACTTTTAAATGTTTTATTTATGAATTTTGTCGTAACTGTTTTTCAAAACTACTTTTAATTCTTTCCGCTATATCTACCGACGCTTAAATGTTCAAGATTGTAAAGTCATCAATGATCGAGATTCTATCGTAAATACAATGCTTGATTTACGAATGAATACTGATTGCGCGGTATGCGCAATTAGTCATCGGTAGACTGCGGATCTTTATGCAAAATAAAATCTTCGCGAACGTGCCTACAAAAATTGAATCTAAATTGGGATTTATTTTATTCTGCAAATGTTATAACATGAATTTTACTCTCAATCTTGTTAGTAGTTTCTTGCACATTCAAATTTCCTATAAATGCATAAAGATCCGCAGTTAGTCATCCATATTAAACCACATTCTATATAGAACACATTTTTCAAACATTAATACATACAGATACAGTGGAATATGTACATGTATAATTAATATATGTAAATTCGATACAATATAGCTAAATAAATAAAGTAAAGTAAGTTATTTTTTGTTCAATCGCGTTGAATATCCATATCCATCGATATTCGTAAATTACTGTTTTTATATAATTTTATGTTCGAAATTATGATACGGGATTTTAGTATCACAGTGAGTGATCTAAAAAGAACTTTCGCAGATGTGGGAAGGTCGAGGTGCTTAGGAATTTTATCACGGAGAATAATAAAAACTAATTACTAATCAATAAATATTCCCCGTTATCAACAACGATTCAGCTATTTTACACAGTAAAATCGTAACTTTTAACCTCGCGAAAGATATTTATACGTAAACCTATATTTGCTTATATGTCAATATTATCGTAACTTACGATCAAATCACATTCTGAAATAATGAAAAAAATAGTAATAATAAATGGAAAAAAAGCATTTTATATGTAAGTGGCATATTTAATTGGTACTTTTATTAAAATTCATGAACAATAAAACTTAGTAATGGTTTATATCAACAGATATAAAAATTGAAACTTTAGCAATGACGCATTTGTAAGGTAATGAGATTTCTGGGGTCATTTTTTTTCGCGTTGATGCATATATCGACACGTTGTAGAAAATGTTCGATAATTGTCATCTCTGTGTATACTTGCTATGCAAGCTTTTACAATTCGCGATAAGCAGAACATTTGTAAATTTACGACCGTATCATATACTTGAATAATTATCGCAAAATATTTTTTTACGAACAGACGTTGTCACTTCCTATAATGCGAGTACGACACGATCCGAGTGTTGTAAGAATTGTGTTAACACGATATTCCATATAAATCGATAAATGATGAAATGAGAAAGTGAGAACTTGTTTTCATCTATTTAGAAGCTCGACCTTCTGTCTGTAATTATCGATAAATTGCGTCGATCGTACTACATAGTTTTATTTTCGTTGCTGTTACGAGCATAGATTCAATTTAATTGATATTAATAATCGTTGAATCACGTACTGTTTTTGAAGAGTAACGTTCTGACTTGATCTTATCCAGATTAGATTGTGGCGGACGTATCCGCCCGTAAAGATTAATTCACAATGATGGAAACGTTTATCAAGAAAAATGATATCAATTAAAATATCAAAAGAAATACAATATAATAATAAAAGAAATGCCAAAATCCAGTTTAATATGATATTTGGAAAAATGGGACTCTCTTGATGGTAATGCCTCAAACTGGAATCTGGCACTAAATATTTTAACTTTACTATTAGAAACATTTAATTTTACCCTTCTACTACAGTTTGTAGCTCATTTATGTTCCAACTACTGTAACATAACTATATTGTTCTAGAACAATATTTCCTAAGTGATCCAGAACTGCAGGATAAAGTACCAATGAGATACAAGAGCCATAAAGAGATTTATGAGGATGCAGTTAGAAAAGCTTGCAAGGTTCTGGAAAAGATGCGGGAGTTGCAAAAGACAGCAAATGCTGGAATGGATTTGTTCTCGTAAGCTTGTTGACATTGTGAACTGTTGAGGCAGAAGCAAACAATACTATTCTTATTAAATATTATTTTTCCAGACATATTTTAGGAGGAATGTTTGGGTCTGCGATATTGAAAGATGGAAACCCGACAGTAGTTCATTATGCCATGTTTCTCCCTTCTGTCATAGGGCAGGGAACCACGCAGCAGCAAGAATATTGGGTAACCAGAGCTTGGAATGCCAATCTTGTTGGAACTTATGCTCAGGTGAGGTATATTAATATTGATAAGTGAGAGAATTAAGTTATAATTATCATAATTAAAGTTAATATCGCTGTTTTTTTTACTGTAGACTGAACTTGGTCACGGGACATTTATCAGAGGTTTAGAAACGACAGCAACTTACGATCCTAATACAAAAGAATTTATATTAAATAGTCCAACTTTAACGTCTTATAAATGGTGGCCTGGTGGCTGTAAGTACACAATAAATGCTGAATATATAATATTATAAGATGTAGAAATTATAAGCAATTTCTAAGGATCGCATTATGTCGTCATTTCTTAAAAATTAACATTTTTGAAATACGAAATTTATCACTTTAGATCATTATATTAGACCTGTTACCCTTGACAAAACTTTTTTCAAACTGTTGTTGAGATCTCCAGAAGTAATATCAATTGACTTGAACTTTGTTATGGACATTTAAAAAATGTTTAGAGTCAATACAAATTTTTTTCTTTTATTTTAAATAATTCCAGCATCGATATTTTGTTAACTCTCATGTTATCGATAATTGCTATGTCCTCTGCAATCGTTACCTTCCACTTCTTTTTAAATGCGATATTCTTTGTAGAAATCATTACAATTATAATATTACCATTTGTTTTCATCTTAATTTACAGTGGGTCATACTGCAAATTATGCAGTAATAGTTGCACAATTGTACACGCAAGGGGAATGCAAAGGTATTCATCCATTCATCGTGCAATTAAGAGACGAAGATACGCACGAACCATTGCCAGGTGATAACAAGACTACTATTTTTTTTTTTTTTTTTTTTTTAGCAAAACTACAGTTGAAAATCAATTTATATGTTTTCGTTAGAAATTGAGAAAGTTACATTAATGTTTACCTATTTTGCAGGCATTAAAATTGGCGAGATTGGTACGAAGTTGGGAATGAACGGAACTAACAACGGCTTTCTCGGGTTCGAGAATGTCAGAATACCTCGTGAAAACATGCTGATGAGAAACTCTCAGGTAAAAGAGAAAGTAACATTCGCTTTCACGATATACTTGTAAGAAGTACTTTATATTTTTACATTACTTTGTTATCATGAATGACTAACGAATGATAATTTTTTTTTTTAAATACATTATGATTTCTTTTATATACATATACATAATATTCTTTTCTTTTTTTCTCATTTCTTTCAATTACCTTCTCCTATTATTATGCTGTACTTTTTGTATAGGTATTAGAAGATGGTACATACGTAAAAGCGTTAAGCGATAAATTAAATTACGGTACAATGATGTTCGTTCGAGTAGTACTGGTTTTCGACATTGCGAGTTACTTAGCGAAAGCAGTCACGATTGCAACTAGATACAGCGCAATTAGACGTCAATGTCAAATAAATCCAGAGTAAGTAAATTAAGAAAAACATTCGTTAAATAAACTTATTACTCGACACTTTCGAAAGTCCTTGCTACTATACTGATATTTGCTCTGCCATTCTTTTAGTGAGCCTGAAGTACAAATTATTAATTACGTAACGCAACAATACAAAATATTTCCCCATATAGCTGCGTGCATAGCGTTTCGACTGGCCGCGAGTTGGATTTGGAACATGTATAATACAGTAGTTGCCGAGTTGGATCACGGTGATTTAGACAAATTACCCGAGGTACATAAATTTACTTCTTTTAATCGTCAATATTTTCAGCTACCGTTTTCTAACGATTCTAATGTTCCGTTTCAGTTGCATGCTCTGTCGTGTTGCCTTAAAGCTGTTGCATCTTCAGATGCAGCCACTGGAGTGGAGCAAGTGCGATTGGCTTGCGGTGGACATGGATACATGGATTCCAGCAATCTTCCAGCGACTTACGGTTTAGTCACTGCTGTCTGTACTTATGAAGGAGAGAATACTGTTCTACTGTTACAGACGGCTAGATATTTAGTGAAATCCTGGAAACAGGCCCGCGAAGGTCACAATTTACCAGAGACGATACAGTACCTTGCGGTCTTTTCTAAAGGAATCAAAAAACAATCTTGGAAGATTAATTTGGATCGCATTATCAAGGCTCACCAAGAAGTCGCTGCAGGGTAATTTCTACTAACTCTAAAAAAAATTACTCTTTCTCGCGTTTAATTTCATTCAATTTCGTTTAAATCATTTTTTATCGTAGAAAAATTGGTTTGGCGACGGAGAATATGGATCGCAGAATACGCAACGGAGTGTCCCCGGAGGACGCTTGGAACCAAACTAGCATAGAATTATCACGTGGCGCAGAGGCTCATTGTCGAGCGTTTATAGTAATGAGATTCGCTGAATCCGTTAAAAACTTTGTCTCAGTGTCCAAAGAGCTACGCATTGTTTTGCAATATCTCTGTGAGTTGTACGCTGTCTACTGGGTACTGCAACGCCTCGGTGACTTCCTTCAAGTGAGTTTTAAATACAAGCAATTAAATAAGACACATTTCGTGTCTTAAGTAAGTACTTAAGGGACCATATATATATATATATATATAATTGTATTAGAGTGTTCTAGAAAGTATTGTTTAAAGTCTTTGTTACTTTAATCGATACAATTTACTTCTTCGCAGTTTTCTTCCTTGACAAACGAAGATGTCCCCTCAGTTCAGGCACGACTAGAAGAATTATTGGCATTGATCCGTCCAAATGCCGTAGGTATCGTCGATGGATTCGACATCCGCGACGAGATCCTTAACTCTGCGTTAGGAGCATACGACGGTAACGTTTATGAACGGTTGTTCGCTGAGGCTATGAAAAGTCCACTGAATCAGGAGAGCGTGAACGAGTCTTTTCATAAATATTTGAAACCGTTCCTTAAGAGCAATTTGTAGTGCAATTTACCTTTGTGGATCTCCTTCTGAATTTCGCTCTATCTACTCGTAAAGGTTTCAACGAAATACAGCCACCTGATCAAATTACTGCCCTACATACCTAGCTATTAATACTTTGACAATTCTTCCATATGGTCATTTTTAAATAATACTTTTCAAAGTACTTGTAAACTCGTGTCACATGTTGGTACTAAGTCAGTAAGAATGATTGAAATGTTTATATTAAAATCTGTGTTCAATATAGTCGAAGCAAGCCATTTTTTATCTTTTGGAACAAGAAAATTATGTTGCCTTACAGTGAAGTTAACGTTAATAATTAGTACAGGAACTAACTTAGGTGGCTCGTTACGATTTACATCAAATACTCATATCAAATCGAGGTATGGTAATGGTGTAACGTTTATAATCGCGATAAAAAGAGTTCAGAAATATATTTTTCTACGACCTTTGCAGAGTATTGTAAATAGTTTGAAAAAAATCGCAATATTGTTATCGCAAGAATTGTGAAGGATTTCCAGAAGTGATTTTTATTGTTAAGAGGGATTTTTTTTTAGGAATGCTTGAACATTCCGCGAGAAGAATATTTTAAAGATTTTATAAAGAAAAGATATTTTCTATGTACTTTTTGCAATTTAATAAAGTTGTCGACAAGACTGCTCGCAAAAAATGCCATCGTTGTACGCATTCTCGAGCCTCCGTATGTTTCAAGAGGGAATAACAGCCGCGGGTCAGGTTTTCCTTACACGGTACAGTGTTTATTTACAGAATAGGAGCGACGACATACAGTATTGTTCTTTACCATACTAACATAGTGCAATTAGTATTAATTTCTGTTAATAATAACGTGTCGTTAACGTAAGCGCCCGCAACGGAGTAACACGTGCGATCTCTCGGGCTTGAGAAAATATACAGACTTGGGATTTCCAGATCATCGAGTCACGTATGGGAATTTTCAGTCGATTTATATAGATCCTAGGAACTTCTAGCATCGACCAAGTTGTCCTCTGTACCCGTATTGCAGATGAAACAAAGAATAAGAAAGAAAAAACACGGAAAAGATCACGGTTTGATGCTCCAAGGCGGGCGATTGTATAACTTTATATAAATATATATACGTGTATATACGTGGTGTGCACCTGCAACCACGCGAATATATACACGTACACGTAATATATTTTACGGAGCTCAGGGCGACTCGGGGAGGACAGGGTGTAGACAGTACTTACACTTACAAAATAACAGTGTTAATTATAGTTATCATTAAATATTAATTATATTCACTTTTTAAAATTATTATTCATTCGTCCACCTGGCCTATGGGTTCTCGTCTAGTGTTAGACAGACTTCTCATTGCTATAGCGTTCATACGGAATACATCCTCTTATAAAATATGATTTTATTACAATTAATGTTTGTTTCTTGTCGCATAGAACGTAGACAGCGCCTCTTCGAGTATTAAATAAGCCACGTGGAGATGCAGCGTACACGTTGCTTTATTATCTTTTTATTTATTTGTCGGATATTCTCGCGTCGTGTATGTTAATTTTATCGCGAAAGGTTAAAGGCAAAGCATAACATTTCTCTAATATTCTACGCGACTGGTTTTAGGTACTGCCGTAACGTTTCGCTAATTCTCCAGCAAAAACAGAAAAGAAAATTGATTTGGATTCCATTTATTGTAATCGTTTTTACCCTAAACACAATATCTCTCGGTACACTCTATACCGACATATTATCCTTTCGATCGTTCACCTACGTATCGATAATTTACTCGCGAATTTTATCATCCAACATAACCTGTACATCGAATAGCTGTTTAAATATTTCTTCTTCCAAGTCGACCCTATCAATACACTTAGTTATACCTTTATTACTACGCATATCGTTACAATATCCTTCGAGACGTCTAGACGAATTATAAATAAGCTTATAAAATAGCGTCGAGCCATTTTACAAATCGATAAGATCGATTTAGAAGCTGTGAGAAATGTCGCCGATAGATGAAGTGTTTCATAACTGAAAATATAGACAGCAACGTCGTACCAAGCGATAATATGGATGTTCGGTTCTTAAACTTAAATCTTCTCTAGACGAAACAATAATCAATTTCCCACTTAATTTCTGGTCAATTCTTTGTCTTAAATATAAATATGCAAATCTAACCTAAAGATCTAAAGTATACGCGAGAGATAGTCGATAACGAGAAAAATGATTTTTAAGGGCTCGTTTTGCTTCAAAATTGATTTTTCTGACAAGAATTGAATATCTCTAATAAGTAGTTGACGAAGCAACAAGCATTATTTGCACAAGATGGCGTCGAAACAACTACCGCCTCGCACGACGTTGATGTTAAACACGATGATTAAATTTAAACGCTTTGCCCGTAACATCCAACGATCGTATCAAAGTCCAACTGTATAGTTGGACTTGTATGTGATACTGTTGTTATTAACACCTTACCGGTGGCGATTGGACACGTAATAATTAATCAATGCTTTACCGACCGGTAATATATCGCAGAAAAAAAAACGAGAAAAATAAACGCGGCTAGCGTTTCGAATAAAGATCAATCAAAACAGGTTCGCGACGATTTTCGTACGAAAATGGTGTTCCTTATGTAATACATGGCAGTATCGGCATGATATATTTTAATTTACCCCGACACATCGGACTCTGGAATGGCGCCCATGTTCCCGCGACCCAGGTAGAATCTCTTTTCGTCAATTTATCACGATTTCTGTGAATCTTGTTGCTTTTATTAAAGAAATCATTGGATCATTCGAATCAAAGTCTACAATTACACGTTCCGCTTCCATCGTAATATGTTTCATAGTTGTGTGCTCATTTATTTCGAACGTTTCATAAAAAATGCAAAATTTGTCGTCTCGGTGTGATTATTTGAAATCAAATGGTTCGACGACGTTCGATACGTTCCTTTAATTTTATTGGTCGATTCGTGTGATAATAAATGCGACGGTTCGTGTACGTAAAATTCATATTATTATTGCACAGGACATTAATAATGACATAACGTTATATATAAGACATTATAGCTGCATAACATCATATATACAAGGATTTTACGACGTTTAGAAATCCTCCGGTGCCTCACCCATTATTTTACTCTTGTCATGTAAACGTCGATAGGTTTCACGTCAATTGATATCGCGTTTCTAAGAAGTATTAAAAGATAGTGCTAAATTCTACGAGTTTCCATCGTTCGAAAGTGGAGAGAATGTGACGAAACAATGATTTGTGGATGGCGCGGCTAACAATCGAATCTACGTTGTACGCTACTTTCGAATAACGATAATGTTACGATATCGATTAATGACTAAATTCGCAATATATTAAAAAAAAAAAAAGTAACAATTCCTATCTCTCGATCGGTTACACCGTTTAAGGTATTTCTCCGAGTCGAGGATTCATTCGCAGATAAAAAGTCTCTCTATAAAAGTTTTTACGAATAAACAGTTACTTTGCGTTCTACCTGGGAAGAGGTGACCGAGACGCTGTTAAAATCTTGAAAAATCAGGAACATAGTAACGATCCTTAAAACAATGGCGTAACTAATTTTTTAGACCCTCAACTTGCACAAAAAGAAAAAGATAGCAGTCGATTTCTGATTACACTTTTAACTATACGCATCTTATCGGTACAAGCTTCATATTAAATACCGAACAGAAGTCCAGTTATCACAAAAATTTTATTCAATTTCACTGTTATTTTCTATCATAGATCTTAAAATTCCTGGTTACGCCACTGCGTTAGGGTCGTTGGAAGAATGAAGGGGAAAGCAAAAGAAAGGACCCGGGGAAAAAGGGGCGGAGAGAAGGGGGGAATCGCTTGGTCCTACGTGAAAAAGTCAATAAATTATTACAACCTCGCGATACTGATCGATCGTGGGATAAATATCGCGGACGAAAAATCTTGAAACAAATAGATATACACGTGTATGTGTCCATTTTTTGTTTGTTTGTTTAAATCTTTTCATATCTCTTCGTTTCTTAGTCTCGCTTTTTTCAATATGGCATTCGCGTGCTGTCAACGAAAAGCAAACACGTATCGTGCACGCGTACGTGTTCCTTTCGCGGGTCAGAACGAGAAACGATCCCGCGTGCACGCGGGAAATTTAAACGTCTTTTGTTTCCATGGCAAATAGAATCTCTATTGACCAGCAGAAGAAGAAGCCTTTCTCTTTAACACGTTGCCAACCGATTTGGGAGTTGGTTTACGCCAACCTAAAATCAAAGATTGATATTAAAAGCCGTTAGACTTTTAGTATCTATCGAGACCCGATCAATTATCGTAAATGTGTATACATCATTTCATTAAGAAATAAATAAGTTTCAGTAACATTGATAAATTAAAACCGCTTAGATACTACTGAATATCTTTTCAATCACTTAGGAGTTAATCGTACTTCCTTGAATTTTCATGTTACCAATCTCTATATTGTAGAAGTTGTAAAAGTTTCAATTCGGCAAAGGTATTAGGTGCGATTCGCGAGTAATGCGTGGTTGGCAAAGTGTTAAGATACAAGATGTTCTTTAGTTTTGAGGGGTGGAAGAAGGGAACGATATCGGAGACGCGTTGTGCTTCGTTTGTCTCTTTCAGGTGTCGTGGTGGGCGGCCATTTTTATTCCTTTGACCGTGGCGAGAGGAATCGGTTGTCGCGCAAAACGTTGTCACTTATAGTGCTTAAAATGGCACGATGAATTTTTATCCACTAAGTGCATGGCATCGATACAACCGCTTTCTTTTAAGACACCCGTTTCGAGGCTTCGGTTTAACCCTTGTAGATATCTAACCTTCGAAATACCATTCTAGGATTTTTAAGTTCCCTATTAAAAACCGATTAAACGACACAGTAACAACGGAAAGAAATTTATAAATAATGATCAGGTGTTGCACCGAGGGAACATTATGATTGTTTATGCCAACAACTTAATTTCATATGTATTCTTGACTGTTCACACTTTCTGCCGAATATTGGTATTAAAAACGTGTTTCGACATCGTTCACTTTTACCAAAACGTTGGGATCATTTATCGCGCGAGATTCATTCTATCCATAAATCCATAAATAATTCAATATTTCTATACCGTATCTTAGAAATAACAATGACCTTTAAAAAATTAAGAATACCTTAAGTTACAATTTTACCTATGTACTGCACGTAGTCGTCGATTAACAAGAGAACATCGCCCAACTGTAACACGTTCATTAAATAAATCGTTGCGCACAGAGCACTGAAAACAATTCGACAATTAGTGAAAATTATCACCGAAAAATTCGCGATTTTTGGGGGGTAGTTTTCACTCCTCGAATACCAATATTCTCTACGCAAAGTTACATGAAATTCGGCGCGCTACAGTCGGGCGATGTTTCTTGCAAGAGAAACTTTATTAACTTCTAACTTCTAAACTTCTTGAAACGTTACATTTACTTTTATAACTACCAACAAACCATCGATCACGAGTATACGCTACGAAACTGTCCAAAAGACGAAAAGAAATGTTAGGAAACATAGTTCCCCAGAAGAATCGCCAACCCCTTGGAAAATAAGAAGCTGTCGAAGATAGATTGAAATTGGAATTTCGTTGAATTCCGTTTTCGTTTCGCCAACGAGCCTCGTGAATTCACGAAATGTATTTGGGCTCCGTGGAACCGGGCCTCGAGAAAGAGAATACGCGGCGGCGGGTCGAGGGCCTTGGTCAAAGTGTTAAAATAAAAAGACGCCCCCGCGAATCAGGTCTGGGTTAGGTTAGTTGTTGGATGCTCGTTAAACGGAGAAACGAAAAATAAAAGGAAAAGGGATCGGGGGCGGGGGGGGGGGGGGGGATAGGCGAGAGGAAACGTTGATAAACGAGGTTCGCGGTTCACGGGATTGGCGTCGAAGAGAAATCACGGGTGGCGCAACGATCCTTCTTCCTTCCCTCCTTCCACCAGAGGCAGAATGATTAACGATATACCAGCAGCGTTTATCGCCCACGAATTTTCGCGCTCTCAGTCCTGTACAGGGGGATAAGGGGGTTGGGGCGTATATATACGCCTAAATACATATACGCTCTGAATACGCTGTAAATGCATCTGGAATTGGCGCGACCTTGCCGACGAGGACTCGATGGGGGAGTTAATCACCCATCCTCTCTCCTTCGATCACCAAACGACAGTCGTACTTGGAAGGCTGATCACACGCAGAAAAAACCAGCGTTTGAAGAAAATCGATGCTCGACTCAACGGAGGTGAATACTCCTGACGCCTAACCCCTTCAGACCCAATTTATTTTAAAGCTACGAAAAATATTGTCATACTGCAACTTGCTGACACGAAACCCCAAACAACACAAAAAACGTAATACATTAAATAGATGGTATAGTACCGTATCTTCCCTTTCAAACATATCGAAGTATTCCACAATCATCACCCAAAATGAATCACGCTCGTCGAACTCGATGAATTTTATGTACATTGTTACGTGCAACGAGGTCTGAAGGGGTTAACATTGTTAAGTCCTATTTGCAAAGTAGAGTCAAGCCGAGGATCCACCAGCGAAAAGTGATCGATTGCCTAAACAAACGCTTGTTGAGGTGTTTGTCTAAAAGAAAACTGTGTCTGAATTACTGAATGGTGTTGGGTGTTCTGAAGTACTGCGCAAGAGGAAAAGAGAAACAATAAGGTGGAATAGAGAAGGGGGAATGCGTGATCGAAGGATGACAGAAGGTTGCGGTGACGTTTTCCCCTCGATGGGAATCTCCCTGTGGTCGGTCGACGAAGGTGTTTCGCTGGGATCCTCGTGGGAGATTCCGCGGTTGCGTCGTCGGCGACGGCGTTTAATTCGGTTGAAGGACATCGTCTTTCTCGGCGTGGCATCGTGGGGCAGAACTCGGCGGTGTCAAAGCCAGTTTAGGCTTTGTCGCCTCAAGCGTAGAATTCTCGATTGTGATGCGGCGCGCCTGGCTTGGGGAACGCCTGCGCCGCGGGCGATCTTCTCGGCTCGTCGAGGGCGTACGATCCCTCGTCCTTCTTGCGCATTCTGTACACGATGAACATCACCACAAGGATCGCACAGAGCAATCCAACCACTGCGCCGCCAATCACCGCTAGAAAAGTTACGAGTTGGTTAGTAATTGATTCTCGCTAATCCGAATCGTTTACAGCAAAATTACTCTTGACAAAGGGTTCATTGATTAACACTTTATTGTACCGATTGAAAATTTAACAATATTTCTTATTTTGATAAGAAACGCTTTCTGATTAATATTTATATAATATTTTATAATTCGTATAATGATAAAAGCATTAAATGTTATCTCAGTCGATAAAGTGTTAATTGAATGACCGTGTAAAAATTAATTTGGAGAAAAATGGCACTATGAAAAACTGTCTCTTGATCTCGTACACTCTATGAATCCAATCAACTTTCATCTTGGACGTTCTTTAAAATTCTATTCGACTGATAATTACGGTGGAGTTTGCATACCGTGTAACGGTCTTTGGACAGCTAAAAAGGTTCAAAATCTGAAACGGCCGGGAGCGGCTTTGCGCGCACAAGGGATTCATTATTCAGTCTGTTAATTATGTAGCGCGTTTATTACGAGGGGCCTGGATCGGTTAACTTAACCCAGAATTTCGTCGGAGTTACGGAACCTTCGTGAATAAATACCGTTCCCGTGGAACTGGAATGTTGATCTGCATGTTACCCTTATACTTCGGGGCTTAATACCACGGGGATCATATTAATAAATAACGCAATCCCTTGACGGGATTCGGACCCGGGGAAATCTACCGTTTAAAAGCATTCCGTTCCCTAAATTCTCGATGAATCATTCATCGCACAACGGTGCAGTGGTAACGTGCACGTTTTTATTAGGATTGAAACGGACCAAGTTGCAGTACTTTCAGAATAAATATGTATTAGACGGTGAAATTAAATGTTGTGCCTTCACAATAAATTCTTTCTAACTGCAGTTTAAGCTTCAATCTTTCACATTGAAAACCTAGAACCCAGAAATTACGTTGGTAACATAGTATGTAACAAGAAAACGACGAGTATACAGACACGCGATTAATTTCTACACATAATAAATACATTTTGATGCACGATAAGTTCAAAGAACTCACCTGCCAGCACACCTGGCTGAGCAAAGAAGGAGCTGGCGCGGTCCTCGTGTTTCGGATTCATGATGTAAACCTCGTGGATATCGTCGGTGTTGTCCGAGTGGTCGTCCTCGACACCTGAGGGCTCGATTACATCGACCTCGTTGTCGGGTCGGTTTACAGTCTCGACGATCGTCTGCAACGGGACACGGCTTAATCAGTTTAAATCCGTTTAATTCGGCTGCTTAGCAGGGGCGGCCCCGTGCGTTTTCAAACAAATCTAATAACCCGCCTTAACGTACACGCGTTTCGGCGGGCATGCTGGGTTTCCCCATTGCACAGACGTAGGCGTAGGATAATTTTTCAACGTTAACGCGGCCGGTCTCGCGTACGCTACGCTTGGGCGACGCTAAAAAATTCAGCGTCGCAGATACAGAGAATAAATGTGGACAGAATTTGAGATACATTTTAGGTTGGGAGATTTCTATTCTATTTTCTTGGATGTTATTTAAAATAGTTATCGCAATATTTGTAGTATATAATCACTAAAAAATAGGTTCACCTGTTGTTTTAAAAACAAATATATGTTTCAGTATCCCTCAGGAGTTTAAATAATTTCTATTCTATTTTCTTGGATGTTATTTAAAATAGTTATCGCAATATTTGTAGTATATAATCACTAAAACATAGGTTCACCTGTTGTTTTAAAAACAAACATATGTTTCAGTATCCCTCAGGAGTTTAAATAATTAAATTGAACTACTCTAAGTTACGTATATGTTTTCTGTTCACCTTATCTCTATCCAGACCGAAACATTCAGGAACAATAAATACAGTTTACGATAATATTCACCTGTTCTTTAGTTTTTACAATCGGTTCATCGACAGAGTATGGTGCTCCAGGTTCCGTTGGCCTGTTTGGCACTGGGTCTATCCTATTATTGTTGCTGAAATCTGCGACAAACGAAAAGAAAAACATAATTAATTATACATCAGTAAAAATAACATCTCGCAAAGAAAATTATTCATTTGCAGCGTACATAATCGAGATTCCGTGTAGGTGAAACTTCAGTTCAACAGCAGTTCAACCCGTCGAGACGAGTTAATGGCGAATGACGATGAAATTAAATTAATCGAGGTCCATCGTGGCAATTTCATTTTACGTTTAATCGAATTTTGCAATGATTTCGACGCGTCGCGAATAGTGACGCGCGGTCGCGATACTCGTTCAGGTTCCGTGCACCGCCACGGAATATATTCTGTCTGTTCGCGGTTCGATTTGTCTCTGCCATCGGTCTCACGTGAATCGGCACGACCACAGTTTGAAAGTATACCGCAGAAATTAATTCTGTGCTTTTACGTTCAACAGTTTCTAAGTATAATTCAAGTAAAAATATTCATTCGACATTTTGTTACGTTATATAAGTCTCAACTTGAAGGACATTACGATTGTCATGTATACAAAGTTCAGTAGCCAACATATTTTGATTAATGTTTTATTAGATGCAGAAATTAATTGCCTCCCTTGACATATTTAATTATTAATAACTCCAAGGGAAACTGAAAAGTTTGTATGGTTATAAGTTTGTCTTGGAAAAGCACAGAATTAATTTCTACACCTAATATATCAAGTTGGAATTGATATCAGTGTCATTTTACCGTGATCGTCGTCGCCGTCTTCGTCGTCAGGGCCAAGGCCGCTACCGGATGCTTCAAGGTCGTCGCGACCTTCGTTGCCACCTCGACCAGAACCCTCCAAAGGGCCCTGGTCGTCTAGGTAGAGGTCGTCCGATATGGGATTGAACGTCGAACTTCCCCCCACCGTCCTCTCCTTCTCGTGTAGATCCTTCTGGAACAAAAAGGAATCCTATACTATATTTCCGTTTAGACGAATCCTTAATAATATTAAAAGATAAATGCGAAATCTCCAAAAGAAAAAGATGTTGAATTTAATAAATCCTTGGCGACTTTTATTTTAATTATATCCAGTTATTTATACATCTTCTTATTATCCAGTCGTAAAAAATCATCATTTTAAATAGTAGTGAAACAGTTCAGATCGCTAGCAACTTTAATTTTAAGTATCTACACACGTTTCTATCAATTCTCTGCCCCTATATTCAATTACTCATAACTCTAGTTTAAACACATTCAAGTACGAACCATCTAAATCTCTTCGTATAATGAATAACAATGTTATAAATGATTGAATACAGAGTGACCAAATACATCAGAAACAATCGAACATTAGAAATTACATAAGCGTACAATTAGAAGTGCAACGATTAAAAGCAGTAAGTCTGCTAGACCACGTCAAGGGAGCTTCGAGGAATGACCTCCGGTTTCCGGTTAGTCAACGCAGCTGGAATGCCGGAGTGACACGCAATAAAGTCCAGAATAACAAACGGCGTGAGTTATCGCGATTGTCTGCCGATCGACCCCCCGCGGATCTCCTTCTTTCTTTCCATTCCCGTGAAATATCCTTGGCGACTTCTTGTAAATAGGAAACGGGGCCAGATGACGGAGTGAGCGTTAAATTTTTATGGCTGGGAGACCATTTTTCTCGAAAGCCTTTCTCGATCCTGAAATACGCCGGGACAATGTAATATGGAACCCTCGACGTACACGCAATTTCATTCTTTTCTACTTTACGACTGTACAGTAGGTTTCTCTTACAGAACAAAGACCAAAATAAATTTCTGTTGAATTCTCTCTCTCTCTCTCTATATATATATAGTATAATAATAATAATAATAATAATAATAATAATAATAATAATAATAATAAATATCACGAGTCATCGATGGTTATTCGAGTAATACCATTTAATATTAAACTATTAAAATATTAAACGTTCTTGTTTCATTTTCAACGATCAATTTTCACGCTCGAATAACCACCGATGGCTCGTGTTATCAATTTTCCGCTCGGGCACTTCAATAAGTGCAAGTAATAATAATAATTGGACGAATTGTTTCCTATTGAGACGAAGTATCGGTGATTACTTTTTTTCCCCTCCTGGGACCTCGTAATGCGAAACCCATTGACCCGTGTGTCTCTCGGAAACACCGAAGCGTTGGTGAACAATCGATAGAAAGAGAGTCGAGTTGTGTAGACGGGACGCAAAGCGTTTATATACACGCTGTACAACAATCGAATAGAAACGAGCCATCCGAACGCTCCGAAATTTCGACGTTACCAGAGGAAACTAATCACGCCGCTACAGTGGCGTCATCTGCATCGTTTGTATTTACGCAACGGCCGTTACTCTCGCGGAAAGAGCATTCGTCGAACAGGGGGCGCGTTATAATGCGCACTCGATCGCATAATGGGGGTCCGATCGTCGATTCATCCGCCGTCGACGCTTAAAATCGAATCCTTTTGGGAAAAATTCGCGATATAACGAAGAACGTCGATAAATTACGAGCGTCGATTCAATTCGCTCGTTACAATTTTCAATGGCGAACCGTTTATATTATTTCGTTCATATTATTCAATGGAAGCGTTTATGTTGGAATGATCGACGAAACGTTGGCTGCTTCTCTTAAATTGTTAGCACATCGAGTAGTAGACCGTTTTGAAGAACTCAGAACACGTCGCCAGACTTGCTATCGAACAGACGTGTTTACCGATTGAGTTCTTGTTATTGTTAATAAACGTTCCGAGTTCATATTCTTTTATGAAAGACGTGTTGATTATTAAAAAAATATGTCTACTCCTCGATGTGCCACCACCGCCGGCGTAACAATACAAGGAACATATTGTGTACAGGGTGTTAAAAAAAAAAAAGCATTCAATATTTATATGGCGCATAGGGCGCACTGTACCGAGTAAAGAAGTTTTAGTAAACATAGGTCCAAAGGTCAACCGTTTCTAAAATATAAACATTTTTGTTTGCTAGTATCATGATTGACTTACTTGCATCTATCGCATGCGATGTTTATGTCAGTGACAATTTCGTCAATTTCATTTTTTCAATTTCAGTAGTAAGTGAATCATGATACTAGCAAACAAAAATGTTTATATTTTAGAAACGGTTGACCTTTGGACCTATGTTTACTAAAACTTTTTTACTCGGTACAGTGTGCCCTATACACCATATAAATATTGAACGCATTTTTTTAACACCATGTATAGCATCGAATATGCCATAGCGTGAGATGGTCCAGTCGGTAAAGCGTTGAACTGCGAATCCAGAGGTCCCGAGTTCGAATCCCCGTTGCGTTAATTTTCATGGTGCTCCTCCTGCATTACTAATTTCTGTTAGTTGAGAAAATGTTAATATCGTGCAATTAGGTGTCGAAGAGTAATGTTAAGGAGCGATACCAGTTGCCTAGAATTTTCTCGAGGCTCTGAATCCCTTTCTCGAGGAGGTCCTTTATCCACGCGAACAATTCCAATTTCCTGTTCGCGAACTTTTCACGATGCTCTTTTAATTAAAACAGCGATCAATTCAGACTTCGCGACGGTCGTTACAAGCGGCTGCGGGTACGGCGATCGAAAGAAAGGAGGGAAACCTGGGAAAAATGAAATTCCTTAAGGATTCAATTTAAAAGCAATAACCGCGCGAGGAGGAGCCTTTGGCGAAGGAAATACTTTAACCTCACCGCGACAAGAACGAGGCACGGTCGAATATAATCGTCGTTCTAAACGGAAAAGGGTGCGGTATTTCATAGGCTTGATTTAAAGTTGCCAGAAGAATTCATGATGCGGTCGCAAGTATTGCGCGACATTGTTGACATTGACGCGCCTACCGTATGGGGTTATTTACTAAAGAGGCGACACGTCCCACGGTCAAGGAAATTCTGTTAGTCAAACGACGTTATCTACGAAAGACATCCGTTCACGCTGCTTTGGTGTGTATCATGGGAACGAAACTCTTCATCTCTCGGGAATAAAATCACCTTCGAAAAATAAACATTACGCGGCTATGTATATTTAAAGAAATATTAGGTTGTACCAAAAGTTTCTTTCGTAATTTGCACTCAATTATTTTACGTGACAGTGTTTCGATAAATAGACAATATAATTTCTTAGATATCGATGTTGTAACGGTAATGGAGGAAAATGAATCGTACACAATTCAATAATGTAACATTGAACATAAAATATCGGGTACGTATTACTTATTAATAAAACGAAAGAAACTTTTGGGACAACCTAATGCAAGTGATATGTTGAATTTATGAAATAAAAAGAAATTCGTTTATAATGAACGTATGAAATACTTGGAAAAATTGGTGAATTTTCAGAAGTTTAATAGTCAAATTCTCGTTGCTTGATTCATCGTGGAACTCTTCCTCTTATAAAATTATGTTTAAAAAAAAAATAACAGATCAAGAGTAGTCATTCGATCGCAGTAGAAATAGGTACAAATAAAACCTACACCGGTATAGTGTTCAAAGAATCCCTAGTAAATCCATCCATCGGAGTTCACGCTTCGTACATCGCTGAACGAGCTAGTCAATTTTCGAGCTGTAATGGAAATGATTCGAACGTATACTTTCGCCGAAATCCCTAGTAAATGTACGCGTTCGCCGCAGTTCACGGTTCGATTGTAACGTATACATTGACCAAGTTCACGCATCGGCTGTAACAGATGCATCCGCGAGCGTGTCCCTCGCCAGCATGATCGATAACACGAAATTCGTCCTCCCGGGCAACCCACTCACTGCACAAGCTTAAACAATTACACGCACCCGGCCTTTTCCTTCGTGCGTAGTTCGGCGACACGAGAGGGGGAGACAGGGCCTATTTTCACGTGCAGTCGACACAACCGTGGAACCCTCGACGCACACAGATCCGCTTTCTTCGTCGATTTCTTTTCTCCGTCTGTCCGCGGAAGAAACGCAAGAATTGCGCGGGCGCGCGATGTTATCGACCTCTTTCGCGCATTCTACCGCATCGTTCGTTTCTTTTCTTTCGCCCCCCCACGAATTTATCGCCGTAATAATCGCCGCAAAAGGCTAACAACCACACGACGTGCGAATGCCTAAAGGCTAAGGTCACGGCACTCGAGACCTCCTTGTCCCGCCTTTTTTTTTTTTGCCCCCCCCCCCCCCCCCCCCCCCCCCCCCCCCGCCGCCCTCTAACAACTCGAACGCGAGTCGAAAAGCGATTCGAGATTATTCGACGCGAATCGGTCGCGATCGAACGGAATGGAGAACTGTGAGACTACTTACGAGGGAGGGTAACGAAGCCGAAGAGCGTTCCAAAGTCTCGAGCGACGAAATATGAGAATTTTCGGAGGGTTGTCTGCTATACGCTTTTGAGCCGAGTGGCGACTGCACTGACGTAGTACCGGGCGGAGCCTGTAGACGGCACTGCTCCGGGCTACTCTATATCGCTCCTTCGCAGATAAAACGGGAGGACCTGTCCAGGACCGTACCATCAGACGTCCGGGATTTATTTAAATTTTCTCCACCCTCGACGATGGATTTATGGAACGAACGAACGAATGAAAATATTTTTGAATCGAACCATCGGGATTTATTAAGCCACCTCTCGTTCGCCGTGATTGATATCCTGCGTGACATTTCGACGCGAATGGAAATGCTTTATGGATCTGGGAAATTCGAATTCGGGATTCTCAATTATTTTTAAAAAATTTTATTTTTCGTATTAACACGTTGATCGGCATGTCACCCAATATACGGGTATGACAGTGTTTTTCACTCAAAAACTAAAAAAATTAATTCTGAAAGTTAGACGTCACAGGAGATGAACCTAAATGAAGTTCTTGAATTTTGATGTAATTACAAAACTAAATATCACGATAAATGTTTCATTACCTACACTCACATATTTAATCTTAGCAGAAATTTTCAAGAATATTCGTTTGGCAGTCAACGTGTTGATAGATATTGAAAATCTACATGTCCAACCAAAGAGTGCGAATGAGTCAGATGAGTATTCGTAATCTCTCTCGAGTTTACTTCAGGCTACTTATCTGTCTAAATATTAGTTTTGTGACCAACGATCCAAATTATATTTCAAATGTTTAAATACCAAATCTGTTTTGTCAGAAAAAGATTGTATCAATCGTCTGAAGTGAGCAGTTGGCGAAGTACGAATACTTCTGTGCCTCACTTGTACCTTAAACCTCCATATGTCGCGTTCCCACGAGGAAAGCCACGTATTTGAATAGGATCGGAATCTTCCATATTGGATTCGAATCCTTGAATCTTAACTCGTGCTGTTCCCGTAGATCCCGTCGTAGCTAGCTCGTATATTTCGCGAGGCAGTCAGGCGTTTGCGTTTGCCTCGTTTTTACTCTGTTTACATTGAAAAGAACACATCGGGGAGCGTTCGAAGATGGAGACACGATAAACTTCCGGCGAACCCGAGACAGCCCGCGTTTCGCAGAAACGGATCAACGGATGTCTTGTCAAACATTCGATATTCCGTCATATTGGATCGGACACTTTAAATTTTCGATATTAGGGGAACCAGAAAGTAATGTATCTTAGCAATTAAATTCAAACAAATAAATTTATAACAAGTTATTATTTTTAATCAATTATGTAATCGCCCTCGTTATCAACAACTTTCTGTTATCTAGTGTGGAAATTTTCAATATCTGATCGATAAAAATCAACTGGTATACAATGAGCTGATATATGATAAACAAGTATTGACATTCACAGAAACGACATTACTTTCTGGTACCCCTAATATTTAGTTAGATAAATAAAACATTCGTGACTAAAAGAGTCAAGTTAATTATTAAATTTAGATTTGTTTGTATCTTTAAGGAGGCTCTACAGTTACGCAGTAAGTCAATATGCAGGGTGTCCCAAAAATGTTGTAACACCTTGAAAGGGGTGGTTGGGGAGATGATTTGAAACAACTTTTTCCTTAGCGAAAATGTTGTCCGAGGCTTCGTTGAGGAGATATTAACGGAAAACACTGACCAATTAGAGCGCGCGTATACCGTTGGAGCGGCTGCGGTAACGAAGGCTACGAACTAAGCGGCCGCGTCAATGGCCTTCGATGCACGTCGAGTCACTTGTTCGCGTACAAGCGCGGCCGCTTAGCACATAGCCTTCGCTACCGCGGCCGTTCCACCGGTATCCGCGCGCTCTGATTGGTCAACGTTTTCCGTTAATATCTCCTCAACGAACCCTCGGACAACATTTTCGCTAAGGAAAAAGTTGTTTCAAATCATCTCCCCAACCAACCCTTTCAAGGTGTTACAACATTTTTGGGACACCCTGTAGAGTTACTACTGTCGCTTGATTCACGTACTAGTAAATCTGGCATAGTATTTAGAATATTACACTTGTTCGTAATTTTATATCAAAATAAAAAAAAATTGTGTTAAACATTGATTTTTAGTCGTTATTATATCGGGTTGTCCGGAAAGTTCATGGCTACTTTTAGGAAAAATTCAAAGGCATTATATAGCATTTGTAAATAAATAATTCCTTGTTGTAAAATTTAAACGTAGGATTTGAATATGAATTCAGGCCCTGCAAAATTTTTGAACCCGGCCCCGCAAAAGGTCACGCCGACCCTGGACACAAGCCTATGTTGGGACTGGAAACGAGTTTGAGAGGTTATGTCTCCCATGTCAGGAAGTACAACCTAAATATGTGCATGTTAATAGGTTGTTACACCTTTGATAGAGAAATGGAATTAATTTCCTGGCCACACACGGAAAGAGGCATTGATTAACCAAACATACGACCAGTTACACCGCCGATGACAAATAAAAACGTAAATCCCAACCATTATCTTGCGGCCGATACCTCCAAAAACAAAACCTGTCGATGCGCCCAACGAACGTCAACACAATGGCGCTACAGTGCCGCGCAAAAGTTTCTAGACGACAATACATTTAAGTTTACGAACATTTCTATGGACAAAGAGAACGTTTCTTGTTCATACAAAGTTACATTTCAATTTTATTTTTAGATATCCTTTCGTCCATACAAACTGTAAGCAATTGTATAGGGAACAGATACAAAGGTAACAAGTTTGGGTAATATGCGTGGTGGAGAGGAGAAAGAGAGAGAGATTTCGAGAGAGGTTGGAAGAAGAACGGTGCACGATTGCGAATCGGCGTGCGTGTCGAGTAAAGTTTAATGCGGTTATCTAGTATCACTGCCAGACTAATACTCTTGAAACATTCTACTGCGATTTAATTTTGCTTACAGACTTTTGGAAAGTGCGTAATGAAATATTTATTTCGGTATTTAGTTCTGTAACTTCGTCAAAATTCAAGTATTTCATTTAGATTCATTTTCTATGACGCTTAACTTTCAGAATTAATAGTTTTCGTTTTTCAGTGAAAAGCACTGTCACCCATATTATAGGTGAAGTGGCGATCAACGTGTTAATAAAGATATATTGAGTTTGTGCCTAACAGGAAAACAATTGAAGTGCGTTTTATTAAAAAAAAAACTTTACAAAACGAAACGTACCTACAAATCCAACAGTTCCCTGTTTTCTAAACTTTTGCCAGCCCCTGTACTTCCATGTAATCTTTTTTTTTTTTTTTTATTTCAACGCGCGATATACGCAACGAAACCAGATGGCGGTATAGGTTGCGTTCCAGTGGTTCGAAAGTCGATAACCACGAAATTTCCTCAACAAGAGGATAATTAAACTGGTCGAGTACCGATGGAGCGAGTATATTTGGAGAAGGGTCGGTTTCGTACACGCAGAGGAGTGTCTGGACGTGCTCCTCGAGGTGGAACTTCCTGGACGAAATTTCAACCGATTAGATTTCGTTTGGCTCTCCGCAGGAGAGGGATCGATTCTCTCGTGGCCGCAAAAGGGGGCAGAAACGGTTCATTAAGTGCGTAACAGAGTAAATCCAGACATTGAGACAGAGCGAGCGAGAGGACGGGGTAGGAAGCGAGACGAGATGATAGACGAAGAGGGAACGATGAATTTGAAGCGGTTCGGTCTTGAATTTCGTTTCACGCTTGACAGACCGTGCTTGAATCATATTACGAAAACAATTCGCGATGAATTAAGGCAGCAATGATTATTTTTCGTCTGCGCCGCCGAACTAAGCCTCCGTTCTTTATGGCGTACCCACGAGCAGGGTTACCAACCCTCGAAGTAAAAACTATAAAGAAATTAGGAGAATACACCTCAAAAGGAGACGACGATACGTGTGGTACAGGAGAGATTATAATACCGTAATGTGTATAATCGATAAAATGAAATTTCTGGATTAACATTTTCAATAGGTGGCGACTTCATTACGCTTTTATAGCGCAATTATTACCATTTATAGCGTATGCAAATATGAGAAGCATACGCCACGCGTAAACAGAATTTATGCACTTATGGAAAATGAAATATTAGTAACACTATATTACGGAATATATTATGCATACACTCTGCATACGATTCTCGACGATAGTCGAGTATACCATAAATGTGTCAAACCTACGGTACACTTTGTAGGGACGTAAATGTAAAATTTTAATTAAATGACCTAGCTCAGAGACTTCACCTAGAACCCTCAAAAATTGAAATAGGTAAATAGGTAGGAACCAGGATGTTCGATCAAATTTGTTCTATCTAGTTTTTTTTTTTTTTTTTGTTTGAATAAATTTACTCTTAGCTTCGATAAGTGGAAAGTAAGACGTTGTTATACCACTTTAAGCGTACATAAACTCTTTTAAGAATACGGTTGGTAATCCTACCCCCACGAGCGATATTTTCAATCCCGAGACGCTATCGCTAGCCAATTTCGTTTTATACGTTCCTGTTTTTTTCTCTATCTTCTACAAGATTACTTTCTTTGAAGCGTAAAACTTGGATACGGCTAGAGTATATAGAAGCTCGAATTTAGGAAGACTGTGGCGTTAAAAATACTCGTGCGTGAGAGTATCCAAGGGAAATCATTTCCTTGTCATTCTTTTTTCTATTATAATTCAATCTAAAACTGTTTTTTGTTGATCTCCATGAAATTACGATGTCGTCACTATATGGACAATTTAATGTTGAGGGTAGTTTAAGGCTTCGATGTATGTAGATTAAGGATTATCGATTTTAAGTTTAGTACGTAAGATATTGAGTATGGTGGTATGAGTGAAGGTGTAAATGGTTTAGTGGATTGTAATCCAAGTCCATTTCGTGGCTCAAAAGCTAGAATAAAAATTCAAAACTGTATCTATCACTATCTGGAGAATTGAGACCGTTCGACTGGATCAATCGTTGAGAACGACAAAGGGAAAGCTTGTTTTTTTTTTTTCATTTATTTTATTTAAGAAGAACGAAAGAGCACATCAACTACGATGGTTATTTGTGACTATGTTAATACGGTTTCCAGTCGAACGTAAATGCCGAAATGGCCGCATAAATTATCGCAGAGCTCACCGACGCGTCGGTAAAGTAAGGTTAGTAAGGTGTCAAATGCATAACGACGCGTGGCGCACCCTCTCCCCCCTCCCCCTCCTCCTCCTTTCCCTCCACGTTGGCCGTAACCGTGGATAAAGACGCCATCATCTCCAGTCCGTGGAATTAGTCTGTTCAGCGTGAAATACAATTTCGTGTCGGTTAATTTCGGTGCCGCTTCGAACAGAAGCCGCAGCGTTTAACGACGCGGGAGTTTGCAAGCGTGTAACTTGTTGGTAAAATTGCTTTCAAACCCGTGCAAGTAACACTGCTAATAATAGATTTGTTGCGATGATAATAATGGACGCCCGCGGCGATGTGATTAGCAACAACAGCGCTAATTATATAAATGGTAATATTCGCCTATCGATGGTGAATTGCTTCCAATTATCGAGTAACAATAATTACAACACGCGTGAGAGTTCCAACGCGATTCGTTTATTTCTTACGACAGCTTTACGAGTTCCATTGATCGGAAAATTGAAATGAATGTATAATACCACGTGTTGGGTTTTTGTGTTCTTGACACAGCCGAAGGAAAACGTCACACGTGCGTTCGGAGGTTAGGAAAAACTTGAAACGCATGGAGCTGGGGATGCTCGGCGTGGAATCGATCCTCGATTTCGTTTTTCTCGACTTTCAGGTGGGTTTTCGTTTCTTCTTTTTAGCGATAAAACCAGATATTTTCGAGGGAGCTTCCACGTTTTCTCGTTCGGATGTTCTCGAAGAACGATCGAAAAGAGGTGTCGTTTTTTAGGTTATACATCGCACGGTCGAT